TTCTGTAATAATCAATTTAACAGAGAAATGGATTTTCCCAAAAGTACCGCTCTTCAATGTGTAGGGCGTGATATGTCTTAGCTACTGGGATATTGACCATGAGCAAATAATGCATTATTGAAGAGATTTATCCTCTCCTCGCTCAGTAAACTGCAAGTGTTTTTATGTGGTTGGGTTCTGCATTGCTCATGCAATCCCATGTGTACTTAGCTGCGAATAAAACAATCGTTTCCGGTATTCTTGTTGGTTAGAAATGTATATGTGTTATTTGCTGAATTTCCTTATAGAAAACTGGAGTAGCGAGGTCCTGCATTTGTTTCCGTTTTCAGTGTAAGCGACCACAAATCTTATAAGCGCATCCGGATCACATACTGTTCAACTTTCTTCCTCTTCAAAAATAAGTCTTCCGTGTTGATATCCTTGAACGGCTTTGAAAACATTCTACAAAATTCACACTCCTGTTTTTATCTTGCTTGCAAGGAAAGGAAGGTTGGTCGAAGTGGCCTTTTGAAATGAGATGTATACTGCTTTGTAGAGCTTGGAACGCTGACTCCAAATCTACCTTTGCTATCTGCTGCAGACTTCTGGGCGAGGAGTTATGAAGGTTTTTATGAGTAAAAATCTGAATGCAAAAATAGGATAAAATCAGTCGTAACCTTTTCTCAATGTTCAAATGAGGCAGCAGCGAATTGGTATATTTGAATTAAAAATATTCGATGCACCGAATGAACCGACTACCAATTAAGCCCTATAAAGAATGTTACTTCTGATTTTAGCCTACTCTTGCATTCAGATTTTTACTCACAAAAACCTTCATAACTCCTCGCCCAGAAGTCTGCAGCAGGCAGCAAAGGTAGATTTAGAATCAGCGTTCCAAGCTCTACAAGGCAGTTACCTTCATTTCAAAAGGCCACTTCGAGCAACCTTCCTTCCCTTGTTAGATCTCATAATATTTGGACTTAGTTCTTTTTTTTTCTGAAAGGTTGATCGCAAGTATAGCTCATGCATCTTGTCTCTCCAGCAATTTTCCTATATTTTCAATCGTTTCATCGCCGGACTTTTCATCCATGTTTACACTCATTCTAGTCTATTATACAATAGCATCATGTTTTGTAGTGGCGAGATGACCATTCAGAAAATAATTCTCAGGTTTAAATTGTTTACATGCAGTGGCCGTATTCATCAACGAACCCTGAGGGTTAAACTAACCCTGGAGGGTTGAGGCGTCAGTTATGCGTGCGCTGTGCGAACTCACATCACAGAATGCCTAAGTAAGCTATTACTTTATACTTCTATTCTTTCACTGTTATAGTAATATAATCAACGAATAAGCTTCTAGCACTAGTTTTTATAATACATCTCTAGCATATTTGTGCAGCATCCACTCTTACAGCGTGGGTTTATTTTCATGTGTGCAATTGTGCCGTGTAAGTTCTTTTGCGTAGTTCGTTTTATACTGGGCTTATGCTACTTTTTTAGGGGTCAGTGCGTGTTATCATAAAGGGGTTCTTCAGTTTTGGCACTTGTCAGAGTGGAATGCGCAACCATTTTTCCTCGTTGCATTCATTTGTCACCAAGCTAGGATTTTTTTTCTCGCGAAGTCAGTGTTTCATGTACTTCGAATTTGAACACGAAACGAAGTTGAAACTAGATACTATAACAACTAATACTAAGTACTACAACACTCGTTAATCGTTTCCTAAAAACTACATGCGAGTAAATGTTTGTATGAAGTGCTAGGGTAGAGTTAACCTTGCTCTGAGCTAGGGTTAAATTAACCCTGATGAATCACGTAAGTTTAACCCTCCAGGGTTAGTTTAACCCTCACGGTTCGTTGATGAATACGGGTTAGTCGCTTTCGGGGTAAAATTAACCCTCAAGGTTAGATTTAACCCTCAGGGTTAAGCCTACCCTGTGTTTCATGAATACGGGTTAAACGCTTTCCAGGGTTAAACTAACCCTCCAGGGTTAGTTTAACCCTCGGGGTTCGTTGATGAATACGGCCACAGGAGTTACCTTTCCTAATTACTGTCCCAAGAAAATGGCCCAGTCGCTGAGGTTTGATGGAGGAATGAGAGAAGACTTTGTATGGATCAAAGTGTGCTAAACTTATCTGCTGTCAGACCTAAAACTTGGCAAAATCGTGCAAAGTGAGTATGAGAGATTTGCCATCTTTTTCAAATCTGCATAGGAAGAAAAACATAGCCACTAGGAAAATAAAGCAGCAGTGCAACTTATTTCGATTACTGCTACATTCTTGAGATTTTTGACATCGTCTGATGAGCTGGAAAAGAGGAAGAAAGGTGTCGAAGAGACCCGAATATTGAGAAAGAGCTGTGCCTGAAAAAATCGTGGTTTGGGCCAGGGCTCGGCACGAGGTGGCTAATTGAAAACGCAAAAAACGAAGTCCCCCTCGACTTCGCCACAAAAGTACGACATCCCCCTTGACACGCTAACGAACAAATCAAATATGAAAGCAAAAAGAATGAAACAGAATACAAGACAGACAATAAGTGGGCAAAAAGAACTAGTAATTGTTTGTATTCTCCGGGTTGGCCGCATGCTGTGTCCGCCGCGCACAACCGCGAGCTTGGAGCAGCTTTGCCGCTGCCATCCAGATAATTTGGAGGGCTATAACTAGGCGGGGAGGAGATGGTTTGGGGAGGTACAAGAGCTGTTTTGTAGAATATTGAATGTAGATTACAATTATGTAAAAAATTTGAAAAAATTATGTGAAGAATAGGAATTATATGACTTTGTTTGCGCTAAGCCACCTCAGGTGGCTATCCAGGTGGCTTGAAAGCCACCTAACCCCGAAAAAAGTTTGCCATGCCCATAGTTCACATAATTTTTTCATAATTTTTCATACATAGTCCCAACTCCCCATTGCCCATCTACACCCCTATTTTGGTGCCATTTCATCTTCACTTCGCTGTAAACAAACCCTTTGTTTATTTGCTGGCGGCATGCCGGTAGCGTGCCGGCAGCAGATCGAAAGACAGTGTTATGCTCTTCCGCAAAAACGATATCCCCTTTGCTTTTTCCCCCAAAAACGATAACCAGCTTGCTTTGCAAGCCACCTGTGCCGAGCCCTGGTTTGGGCCAAAGAAGTGGACACGTCATAATGTTCTAAACAAGAAGTTTGCCTCTATTCGATTCCAATTTTTCTAATTTTTGAACGTGACTGGAACATTTTCAAGCACATTCGGTACTTTAGGCTTGATATCCGCATGCTAGAGCGTTTGACCACAAGCTGAGCGCCTTTTCATAAATTTCCATAACCATCTGTTTTGTGCAAGCATAAGACATGACTCAAGTGTTTTCCTATTACTCATACGATGCGTGGAGGTTTATTTCCGTCTATCTATGATTGCATATCAGCTTTGTGTGAATACGTATAGGTGCAGTTACAGGCTTTTTATACGTTTATAGGGTGGTTTACAGTATCAAAAACCCTGTATTTGATCCAGAATTACATCCATTGTACTGCATTACTGCATTACTGCATTAGTCATAAATAATTGTCATTTTGAGGCAATTTATTTCTGGTTGGCCGGGAAAGTAGCAAGGTCGAGCAGTTATTCTGGAAAAAACTTCGTCATAGCATTTATTTCTAATTGAATCAGTTCTCATATAAATTTTGCGGAACTGATAATCTACCTTTGTCACGGAACATGTTTTTCGAATCATCGTCTTATGATGAAACCGGTTTTCCAAATTCAAATGGTGGCCTAGTGTTCCGGTCCATCACTTGTTAAGACTCTCATTCAAGTTGCTTGCCAGATCCCAATTTTCTGTCGACAATTTGTGACGTAAAACAGAAGGCAGTCATATGAATTCTAAAAAATTTTTTTCATGAATCTATCAGGTTTTTTTTTCTTTGTAGTTCTGTGCTAGCTATTTCTATATCGTATTTTAGCAGCTCACTTTTTTATATCTGAATCAACGTCATTCTATAAATCTTACAAGGGAAGGATACTTAGTCGAAGTGGCGTTTCCATATGAAATGTATACTGTCTTATAGGACACTAGCTGGCTTACCCGGCTCCGCCGTATCCGGACCAAACTTGGCACACATACACTTCGGGCCCCGGCGGGTGTCACAGTCCACTTTTCGTTATCGATCGATGTCGATTTTACCGATTTTTATCGATTTTTTGGCAGAGTTCACCTTCAGGGCTAGGAGTTGGCACAGGGGGGAAGTGAGCATGGGGATTCCGAATACAATATTAGTTTTCAGAATTATCGATTGCTTTTATTGATTTTATCGATTTTTTGGCAGAGTTCACCTACAGGGCTAGGAGTTGGCACAGGGGGGAAGTGAGCATGGGGATTCCGAATACAATATTAGTTTTCAGGATCGTCCATTACTTTTATCGATTTTATCGATCTTTTTGCAAAGTTTGACCTGCGGGGCTGGGAGTTTGCACAGAGGGTAATCGAGCATGCAGATTACGAATACAATATTAGTTTTCAAGATCGTCCATTGTAGCGCATCAGCTGGGGCTGCTGATGCGGAGGGCGTCTGGCGTGTGGCAGAAAAATATAGAAAAAAACTTTATCCGGACAAGGCCGGAACAGAAAAATAACAAGGAGAACAAAAACAACTAGCCGGCGGCCTTTTATAGCCGCGCGGGTACAAAGTACAAACATGATCTACAATAAAACAATAATCGCAACGACACAAACCTACTCAATGCTAACAAATATCTTTTATTTCTTATAACTATTCTATATCTCCTTCACATGCCTCCCCGACGAGTAGAGTCGTCCCGACGATGTCCATGCGTGTGATGCGAGTGCGAGGAATGTCGGCTGGGTGACCTATGGTGGCGGTTAGGAGAGTTCCTTCGGTTCGGGGCTTGGGATGGGTCTTCAAACGTGATCGGTGCTCGATGACGCCTTTTCTGCGGATCGGCAATCACCCAGAAATTGGGCATATACTCTTCCTTGCGGCGCCGCGCCTTCAGTATCTTCTCTCGCCTTCGTTGCTCGCGTAGTTATGGTGTTGCGGGCTCGAATTTCGGCAGCCTGATAAGGTCATTCACGGTAATCCTGACTTTCTCGAGGAACGTCAGTATCTGGGGTCCAATGAAGGGCGCACCACTGCGTCTTGGGTTGACTCCCAGGCAACAGGCTGGATGTGTATATGGCGCATGATCCAGTACGCCGGAGTAATGATCGCGAGTCACAGCCAAGAAGTTGCGGGATGGATCCGTTAAGAACCGTACGAACTCGCGGCACACTTCGCCCACCCTTCTCCATTCTTCGGCATTCCTATCCTCATATGGGCTTGGGAGAAACGCAAGTGTTCCTCCGTCTTGGAGGTGTCTTTCGATGCTGATTAACAGCTGCCTCATCTGCCTGCTTTCAGGTAAGTTGTCCGGCCATACGATGACTACTGCTTTCATAACCTCACGGGCGGTCAACAGCTTGCTGGCAAGAGTTCCGAAGTCTCGATAAATGTATAGGATGACGTTGTCCTCGTATGCTACTTCAGAATCCAACCTTGCGAACGAAGTTGGGAGTGCAATGAACGTACGGCGATCCATGTGATGGTTCAACAGCGGCATCTCGATCTGATCCAACATCATGATGGCTTCCGCTAGGATGTCCCCGATGGGGTATTCGCATGGCCATGGGTAGATTGCGGGGTGGTCGTACTTCATTCCCCTTGCCTCCTCCACTCTTTTGGCATATAAAGGACATCGACGTCGATGAGCGTCCATCGCTACAGCGAGTCCATATGGCGAGAGGTACTGTGAGTGCTTCCGTCTGAGTTCTCGCTCTTTCCTTTCGTCCGACCAACATTCCTGCTCGGAGATGCTCGCGATATTCGCCAGTTCAAACATGTCGTTCACTGTCTTGGCCCTTGCAAGCGGATGTTTCAAACCGGGTATCGCTACATGCGCCATCTGACCGAATAAACCACAGCTGCAGCGAAATCTCAGATTCAAGCGGTCGTCGGAGGCCAGCAGGGTCCTGAAAAGAGAGATTTTGTTGCATGGAACTTCTTGCGTCTTATTTTTCTTAGGACGCCCTCTTTTACCCCTGCTTTTTCTCGTTAGCAATGGCTCGTCGGAGATACCCTGGGGTAGCTTCCTAAGTAAGTCAAAGGGTACCCTTACTGGTTCCTTATCTTGGTTGATCAGTGTAATTAGGGCACTATTCTCACTGGCCTCTATAACCCGGTAGGGTCCTTCCCAGGGATTCGCTAATTTGGGATGGCTTGAAGACTGCTTCTCGCTGGGGATTCGCATGTAGACGCGGTCGCCTACCTTGGGGGGTGCAGGACAACTCTCCACTCCCTTCTCACGGTCGTATGATGCTTTCATACGCTCTCGCATCTTATCGTTTACCCTGCGTGCGTATTCACGCGCAATTTGCGTCCCTACAGCCACCTCTTGGGCATAGCTGTCTATGTCCACTGCGTATCTGCGGGCTTCTGGCTCCAAATCCCACGGGACATGCGCGTCAAAACCGTGTAAAAGGAAAAATGGGGACTCTCCAGTGGACTCATGCACTGTGGTATTGTACGCAAACACACAGGCGGGTAAGATTTTATCCCATTCCACTGCGATGGAGACCTTTTTCCTCAACATCGAGATGATAGTCTGATTAAACCTTTCGGTAAGGCCATTTTCGCGAGGGTTGTACCCTTTTGTGAAAGTTTGCTCAAATCCCATCAACTTCTGTAGCTCTTCCATTAACTTGTTTTCGAACTCCCCTCCCTGATCTGAGAGGAGACACTTGGGCTGGCGTCCACCCTCTGCCACCCATCGTTCAAAAAACACCCGAGCTACCACTGGTGCAGCTTTGGATGGTACAGCATAGGCACCAGCGAATTTTGAGAAGTGGTCGACTACGGTTAGAATGTAGCGGTTCCCTTCCGTGGTGATACCCATTTCCAAAATGTCTATACCCACTACCTCGAATGGCCTAGTGGTCACAATTGGACGTAGTGGTGGGACCATTGCTTGCTGGGGGTTGTGACACAGGCATTCACGGCACTCCTCTGCCCAGCGCCAGATGTCCCTTCTCATAGATTCCCAGAAGAATCTTTTGGATAGCTCACGCCACATCTTCTTGGCTCCAAAGTGTCCCGCTAACACTCCGTAATGGGCCTCTTCAAAGAGTTTCTTTCTCTGGGAGGGTGGTACTACCTTCCGCAAGCGGTCTTTATCCACTAGCATAAGGTGACCGCCGCTCATGATGAAGTCAGCCACCTTGTATCTCAGCGATGATCCTGGAAATTCCACTTTTCCATCCATTTCGTCTTTTTCCAGTCCTTCTAGGATTTTCTGGTAGACTGGTTCTTCACGAAGCTCTTTTGTCCATGCCGCTTCTTCCATTGCAGATGCTACGATCAGCTCCCCTGGCATTGTATCGTCAACCTCCGTACAGCATTCCATCTCACGTGTCGCACCACGGCTCAAGGCATCCGCTACCCGATTTGCCGCTCCTTTCAGGTAGACAATCTTCAGGTCGTACTTCTGAAGCTCAAGTGCCCACCGCAGTACTCGATCAGAAACGTTGGTGCGCTTGAAAATTGCTGTAAGTGCTTGATGATCCGTACATACCTCTACCGGAAGCCCGTAGACAAACATGTGGAATTTACGCAAAGCGAATACCACTGCTAAGGCCTCGAGGTCCGTTACGTGGTACCTCTTTTCGCAGCTGGACAGCCCCCTAGATGCGAAGGAGATCGGATGCAGCAGACCATCTTCTCCTTCCTGGCTGAGCACTGCCCCCAGACCTTGGGTACTCGCGTCCGTGTGGATTTTGAAAGGTTTCTTTCCTTCTCTTGCTCCTTCAATGTCCGGTTGCGCAAGCACCGGAGCTTCGGTGATTACCTTTTTCAGATGTTGAAAGCTCACCTTTCTTTCCTCCGTCCACTCAAACTTCTTCTTTTCCGAAGTAAGTTCATGCAGAGGACCCGCTATCTTCGCAAACCCCAACACGAACTTTCTGTAGTAGGAACACATCCCCAGAAACGTTCGAAGATTAGACCGGGACTTTGGTAAGGGATACTTCCGTATCGCTTCCGTCTTAGCTGGGTCCATGTGCAGGCCGTCTTGATCAATCACATGACCAAGAAATTCTACTTTTCTTTCGAAAAGTACGCACTTCCGTGGATTCAGTCTAAGCCCAGCGGTCTCCAACTTTTCAAAGACCTCATCGAGCACACAAACGTGTCTCGTGGCTGAATCCGTGGCGATAATGATGTCGTCAAGATAACAAAATACCTCTTCGCTTTCTAACAACGTACCCAGTACGTTGTGCATTAGTCGCTGGAACACTGGTGGAGAAGCTGATAGCCCGAACGGCAGTACTCGAAACTGGAAAAGGCCTTCGGTGGTAACAAAAGCAGATTTTTGTTTTGCATCTTCCGATAAGCTTATCTGCCAGTATCCCGAAGCTAAATCGAGTGTCGAAAAGAACGCTTTTCCTTTCAGGCTCTGTAGAATCGAATCGATGGAAGGTAGTGGGTAACTATCTACTCTGGTGACTTTATTCACTTTTCGATAGTCCACACATAACCTTAACGATCCATCTTTCTTGCGCACCAACACGATAGGCGAGGCCCAGCTTGATCTGCTCGGCTCGATTACCTTTCGTGTCTGCAGATCATTCAAAATGCGCCTGAGCTCCACTCGAGTTGCTAAGGGTACTGGCCTTGGCTTCTGCTTTATTGGCAATGCATCTCCTGTCTCGATATCGTGCTCTACCAGGTTTGTCTGCGACAATTCCTGATCGGTGACCGCGAATCCCTTTGCATGGCGTATCACCAAATTCCGGATGTTTTCCTCAAGGTTGCCGCTCGCCTTGCTCTTCTCCAAAAGCTTCACAAGGCGTTCCTCTCTATCCTGTATTCGAGAATTTGTCCTCTCTAGCATGTTACCATGGTAAGTGACAGGTTGCTGCTCCACCAAATCCAGCGGTTCAAACGTTCCTATCTCTTCCCCCTCTCGGAAGAGCTTGGCTCCTGACAAGCCATTAGTCACTGGAACGCTCATGGAGTTGCTGTCGTTGCCCCAAACCATATCAGGAACCATTCCACACTTTGACCAGCAAATTCCCTCTTTTGGGCTGCCTTTGCGGCTGACAGGCAACATCTTTGTTTCACCTGGTCCCACATATACTCGTTCCGTGGTAGTGACAATGTCCCGTTGCTGTTTTCTCGTACTCCTTTTTAGCGATTCTGCCGTCTTGAGTACCTCTGTCTCCGTCTCCTCATCCTTAACACCGCCTCTCGTGTTGGCCACGGAGAATCCCAGCTTTGCCAATGCATTCGTACCTAGGACGATCATGCCATCCGCTCCCGCCATCACGAACAGTGCTATTTTCTGCTTCACACCGTCTTCTAGCTCGATAGCGAGCCTAACTGCCCCCTTGAACTTCATTCTATTACCTGACGCATCGTAAACTGGCGCCAGGTGATCTATCTCTATCTCCTCGACATTGCTATCTAAATCAAATCCGCTATCACGGCTTGCCACAAGCATCTGTAATGGGATGATGCTCACTTGGGAGCCCGTGTCTATAAGCGCCCTCCGCGGCAAGCCTAGCAGACGAACATTCGTGATCACCTGCCCTCCTACAAGCTCGTGTACGGCTGGTGCCGTTGAGAGAGCACTGCAGATCCATTTGTTCAGAGAAGCTGTGAAGATTTTTGGTGCGTCCGTAGGCGGTCCATTCCGCGTTGCTTCGGCGGTTCGTGGCTTGTTGCACTCCCGACTGTAGTGCCCCACTTCCTTGCACTTGAAACAGCGTGGTTTCCGCTTTTCAGACGTCGCAGGTGTGTTTTCTTGTCCTACGTACCTTGTCTCTTCGTATCTTCGTACAGGTAGCTTCTTACCGCTAGTCGCTGCTGTTACCTGCTCTGTGGTCCGTCGCATCGCATTAGCTACTTCTTTGCTGCGTTCACATCTTTGGGCCATTGTCTTCACCAGCTCATACGCACATTCCCTCGGCGCAGTTTCCATGGCGGTGAAGAGTTGCAGGTACTCTGGCCATTTGGTTAGTTGAGACACTAACTCCCCGGCTCTTGTCCTTGAGAGTTCTGCTTCTGATGCATCCGGGTAGGCCCTCTGCGTCAGCTTTTCCAGCTCAAGACAATATGATGTAACATCCTTGTTCATCTTCAGGTGCTTGAGCTGCATGTAGGCCGTCATTTGAGTGGCAGCGTCATGGGCTTGAAATTGGCTTCGCAAAGCTTCTATGATCCCCTCCAGGGTACCATCTCTTACCCTTTTTGGTAGCGCTTCTGCTGCAGCCTTTGGGTACCCTCCCAGTTTTGAAAGGAATAGGTGGACTAACATGTCCTCCCGCAATCCTAGCCCGGAGTACTTCATCTTGAACTTTAGCACAAATTCTTCCAGCCCCCTACCCTGGGGATCCCTGTAGGTCTCCACCTCCGGGAGGGTCATTGCCGCAAACATTTGTGCCATATTTGTAGGATTGTATATGCCGAACATACCTTGCGACTGGTTTCTCCCAACAGGCTGTTCCATTGCCCTCGTTTTCTGCAAGCTCTTCTCGGCGGGCTGAAATTGGAGACCATTGTGATCTTGTCCTTTCACCATTTCGCCTAACTTGCCTTGTGCGGCAGCGATGGGATCGAATATTGCATATGCCTGGTCGTCCACTATGTCTTCGTCCTGCTCTTGCACCCTGGACGTCGAGGGTGCATCTGCAGGTACCTGAATATTAATATTTTTCTGCTTTGTTGTCTTGATACGATAGTGTTTACTGTTTGTTGACTCTGCTTGCCCCTCACTATCCCTGATTCCTTGGCTGCACTTTGTCAAAAGTTGCAAAGCTTGACTTGTCAACCCTCGTTGCTTGACCAGTAACTCTCCCACTTCCTCTAATGCCTGTATCTCGCTGCACACCTGCTCACACTCAGTTTCAATGCAGCTGCTGGCAAGCGCTTCAAGGTTTTCCGCGTTCCTACTCTGCGCTCTTGTATGTTCATTGTGTTCTCTTAGCGCCGATGGCACTCCCCGCAGCGCTTCGACCCTCTCTTTTAATGCTGTCGTTGACAGTTTTACCTGTATTGACCCTTTCTTCGAGATATCCTCGATACTTGCGACCAGCTTCTCCAAAGTTTTCTGCATGGTCAGCAATTGATCCGTAGGGACTTCTTCCAGGCTCATTTTGTCTAAGTTGATTGCTTCAGGGCTTTCTGACATCGCGCCCACTTTTCTGCAAGAGCCAGGATCACTTCTTTATTTATTTTCTTTTATTTTCTCCTTTCCCGCGTATTGACGCGAAAATGTGGCGATGGATTGGGATAGGTGGCAATGTATGTCCCTTATGCCAAGGGCTTCAAAAAAAAATTTGCGCAGCACCTCCCCTAGGAGCTGTGATTTTGCCCTTGGTCCCAGCGTGGATCGGCTTTGTGCCTTTTACACGAAGGGACATACACTGCCACAATGGCAGGCTACTCGCCTTTCCGCTGTTAAGCGGTCTTAAGGCGGCCTAAGGGTTTTTAGGTTCGGCCCCCATGTAGCGCATCAGCTGGGGCTGCTGATGCGGAGGGCGTCTGGCGTGTGGCAGAAAAATATAGAAAAAAACTTTATCCGGACAAGGCCGGAACAGAAAAATAACAAGGAGAACAAAAACAACTAGCCGGCGGCCTTTTATAGCCGCGCGGGTACAAAGTACAAACATGATCTACAATAAAACAATAATCGCAACGACACAAACCTACTCAATGCTAACAAATATCTTTTATTTCTTATAACTATTCTATATCTCCTTCACACCATTACTTTTATCGATTTTATCGATTTTTTGAAAATTTGAGCTAGGGGGCTGGAATTTGGCACAGGGGTGTTCGAGCATGCTGATCACCCCCCTTGGGGATGATCAGCATGCTCGATTACCCCCCTGTGCCAACTCCCAGCCCCCTAGGTCAAACTTTGCAAAAAATCGATAAAATCGATAAAAGTAATCGATAATCCTGAAAACCAATATTGTATTCGGAATCCCCATGCTCGATTACCCCCCTGTGCGAACTCCCAGCCCCGTAGCTCAAACTTTGCAAAAAAATCGATAAAATCGATAAAAGTAATCGATAATCCTGAAAACCAATATTGTATTCGGAATCCCCATGCTCGATTACCCCCCTGTGCCAACTCCCAGCCCCGTAGCTCAAACTTTGCAAAAAAATCGATAAAATCGATAAAAGTAATCGATAATCCTGAAAACCAATATTGTACTCGGAATCCCCATGCTCGATTACCCCCCTGTGCCAACTCCCAGCCCCGTAGGTGAACTCAGCAAAAAAATCGATAAAAATCGATAAAATCGATATCGATCGATGACGAAAAGTAGCCTATGACACCCGCCGGGGCCCGTAGTGTATGTGTGCCAAGTTTGGTCCGGATCGGTTCAGAAATGGAATTTTCTATTCGGAACATACGTACACACAGACAGACAGACAGACAGACAGACAGACAGACATACAGACAAACAGACATTCAGCTTTAATATAAGATAAAACGCTGATTTCAAATCTGCTTTCCTTATCTGCAAAGCGCTTCTGAGAGGAGAGTTCTGGGAATGTTTGAGGTAAAAGTACAATGATTTGGCTAAGATAAAAACAGGTGTTGAGATCTCCGGTGCTTAAAAGAAGTAATGATTGGCATGAGTTTATTAGATTGAAGTTGTCTATTGCATAAAAGCCCCGGTAGTAATCATGGCCCCATTTGAGCTCACGGACTAAAGTTTCAAATGGTTTTATTGTACCGCGCTTTCAAATTTTCACATGGAAAATTCTCATAACTCTCCTGCCAGAAATGCTTTGCAGATAAGAAAAGCAGAATCGGAAGCAGCGTTTTATGCTCTATAAGAAAGTGTACATTTCATATGGAAAGCCACTTCGACCAAGTATCCTCCCCTTGTTAGATTTCTGATCCGAGCCAATAAAAGTAGCATTTTTTCAGCTTTGCCTTTTCTGGACACCTAAGCCTGGAGTACAGTTTGCGTGTAGAACGAAATGCACTTTGGTTATGCACTTGGCGTTAAGAGTTCTTAGCCGAAGTGTGTCCTTTGCTGCCGTTATCTGCACAAAAAATGTTTTTTGAACGAAGTGTACACTTATGTCCTATGCGTGTAACTCCCATACCGGTTAGATTATACGGTTGTTAGGATATATAACTCTGTCACGCTACGGCTACTTACTGGTTTTGTTTCTGTATAGATCGTTCCAGAAGAAAAATGTTTATAGCACCAACCCTTACGGAGGCTGGTCAGTCTTTGATCCAGCGTCTTTGTGAGTGACCAGCATCTCTTGCCATGGTATCTTCTTCGAAAGAATGTCACATATTGTGGCTAGTAGTGATGCGTCTTTGGCTGGCTACCCACTAGCCGTTGAGCAATTTTGAAGGAGTAGTATGATGCCGTTATTCTGCTTGATTGAGAGCATGCCGAAGTTTTGCGCAGTAGCCGGCGAGTAGTACTTGAAAATTTATTCGACGTTGTCGTCTTTAATTTCATATTGGATGTGAAGGATGTACTTTAGTGCTTAAGTTGGTTAAATGTAATAAAAGGGTAACTCCCTGTAGAGGTCAATTACTCATTCTTTGATGCAGAATTGATGCTCTGTTTTAAAAATCCTCTGTGGAACATATCATACATCACGCTTGAGTGGAAACTGCCGTAAATTCCTCATTCTGCACTTCATCGCATCCACACCTTCGGCCTATATATTCGGTGAACCTGGTTTAAGTCTATTATGTGCGTAGAGAAATTGTGTGAAACCTTCTTCCACTGTCTGTCTTATGTGTTCTGTACATTGGATGCCTCTACAGATCAAAAGCATATGCATCGAAAAACGATAGCCTGACAGATTTTTTTCTTATGAGTGATTATATTTTGAACGATTAGAGTGTGACATCGAATCGCTTGCAGGGAACTTTGTTCTAAAAGTGCCCCCCACCCTCCCCCCCCCTCAGAACTGTTTTTGATCGCATCTACACTCGTAACAAAAACCTGGAAAATCTCCAAGAGGTTGATCATACTTCAGATATTTCTAAAGTTATTTGGAGGATCGATGACGTAGAGGTATAACATGGTAAAAGAAATAGGATGGTATGGTATAACAGGAGGTACACCAGGTTAAGGAAGGTAGGGGTATAATAGGTATAAGGATGGTAGGGTTATAACAGGGGTAGGGTAAGGTATGAGGGGGTAAGGTAAGGGAGGGAGGTATAACAGGGGGGTAAGGGGTGAGGTATAACATGATGCTTAGGGTGAGCAAGTTATACCAGCAGTAGATTTTTTTTTCATGCACTTGCGTGCGAGTTTCCATGTGATACTTCCAGGCTATCCATTCAAAAGTTGTGATTAGAGGACAAAAGGGGAGCTTTCCATTGTCCAGCACTTCAGATTTAGCAAACTAAAATACAAAATCAGAGCTTTGAAAATATCTAGCGTCTGAGGATGTAGTTTGCGTAAGGCGACTCCTTTTTCTATGCCGTCATAGGAGCCAAAGTCTGAACTTGAGCGATTATCTTCTTTTCTCTGAGATTAAGAATGATGAGAATAATCGAATGGTTACTGCATCATCCATTCTATTCTTTCTCTATTACATCGTTGCGTTTTCTCAATCAGAATAAAAAAAAGAATCTACCATAATCGCTATCTGGTGAACACCTCTCCTTGCAATGAACAGATTGCATTTTACAGCAGAAATTATTTGTTTTTGTGATAATAATAGCAATTGTTACATAGCATGTGTACATAGCTTTTGTTGTGCTTCTTCCACTTGTTGTTACACCTGCATTCGTTGGAAGTTTGTATGTGTTCTGTGCACTAGACAAATGCTAGAAGGCACCCCCCCCCCCCCCATTTCCCCGTCGAATGACAATTGGTGAGGTGTTGACGGTGAGGAGTCGAGCACACAAACACGCACACAAACCTCGCATAATACATAGAAGGGCCCCGATGTCGTAAACTATACATTCACGCGCAGGATTTGCTAAGCCTGGTCAGGGCATTCCCACATTCCACAGCGAAGGGAAGGGGAGGCCGTGTGAAGATGCTTCGTGTGTGTTATGTTTACCGAATTGTTTACAATGTGGATTTATACAGCCTGTTGAGTGCGCAGATGCCAGTGTGCGAATCAGCTGACACGGGAGGCTAGCATTTGATCAAAGTCTCTTAGACATTGCTGTTGGCCTGCGACCTGGCAGATGTTGCTATTCGAAGATCGCTTTTTAGCAAAAAAAATTGCCTTGCTGATTGCTTCTTCTCACGATATTCCATCTAAATCTGACCTGTTTATAAATGAGCTTTTTTGAAACCATGTCGATCTATTAGAAAGTCCCCAGCTACTCAGATTGCTGATTCTTTCCATAAAAAAGTAACTGTTCATTGCTTACATTCGTCTCTCTTTGGTAAATTCTGTTGTGAAAAGGCTTTTCTTATCGTAATCACTGCCAAATTTTCTATTGATTTGAAAATTTTCGGACTTTGTCTGCGGTTGTTCACAGTTCTATCAACAATTGATTTTGGTGTTATAAATCTTGCTCCCATTCAGCGCTTTTTCTGTATTCAAAATACCAGCTTATCTAATGGAATCTGCTCTCAAAAGTACGGATTACTCTTGGAACCTAGAAATAATCGGATGTACTTGGAATGCACTGATACACAATCAGGTTTCCTGCAGATTATGATTGCACTATAATTGATTAACATAGAATGAATTTGTGAGGATAGGGTTTGTACTTGTTACTTTCATTGATAGATTCTTTATTTCTCATAAGTATTCCATGTACTCTTGCTGTTGAGAACTGAATGCTCTAAAATTCAGAAAGCATGATGAGGAGCTATATGTGTGTGAAATGAGCATGAGGCTGCTTCTCGAATATCATTTGCTATAAAAAATGTTATCGCCGGGTATTGAGGTTAGCATAGGAGTTTTGTAACTGTCCTGTAGTTTTTTAAGTGTTGTTTTGTAGAGCTGAATGTAGTGCAAGGTTTTAAAAATCAAAACATTAGACCAAAGCTTGGTTTGGATATTTCATATTGCTTAAGTAATCCGTTAGGGGCGTATCTAAAAATAGTGTTCTTTGTATGAAGATTGCGCGTAATGTCTGTAGATTTGCGTTTTTCCCCGTCTTTATGCTATTTTTGGGCTTCTGGATAGTTTTTGTAGACTTTTTTTTGTGTGCAGATTTGCGATTGCGCTTTTTCTTTCTGCAATTTCCTCATTTGCGCTTGCAACAAACAGCCGCAGAGTCGGCGATGCCCTTTGCGATCGTTTGAATTCTCACCCTCCCCCCCCCCCCTCCCTAGCACCTTGATTTTACTGCTGGGTAACAATCTATGGTCACAAAATCGACCTTGACTCTCATTATGCACTATCTCACTCGACAAGGTTAAACCACTCGTGAATTTGCGGCGATCCGCGTGCCATCGAAAATTGCGTCTATGCGAACTAGCCAGCAGCCCTTTTTTGCCGTCGTTCATGCGGCTTTTTCTTGTGCCATCTGCTTGCGTTTCATTTGCATCCGCATTTTTCGCGCCAAGTCGTCCAATTTTGTGTCGTCCTTCGCAGCTCGCCAGCGGCTCGAGCGCGCGTCGCTGTCCGAAACGATGTTGTATGACCTCTGTTGAATACGTAGCGCCGCCCAGTTAGCGCCGTTTTCACCCAGTTCGGTTCCGTTCACAGCCACCATCACCGCACCCCGTCCGTTCATAAGGGGGGGGGGGGTGATGCGGCCCGCAATGCGCTAGGCGCTGGCGTGGATTAGCTAAGGCGAAATCGAAGGTTCGTTCCAGCAGCGAAATGTGTTTTCTTCGTCGGCCACACCTCTCAGCGTTTTGTAGGCTCAATTAGGGCAGTGAGATGCTAGCGGAATTGTCGTAGACCTGTTCTTTGCTTCCTTAGGAGGAGAATCGAATTTGGCGAGATTGGGATGCTTTTCTTGGGAGTTTTGATTCAAGAAAAAATTGTCTTCTTGTTTGTTAATAGACCTATCAAGAAAGTTTCCGCTTATATTCTTGACAGTCGCACTGTATTGATCTAAAGTTCGTTTTTTCCTGTCTTTTCTCTTTACTTGCAGTTCTACTTTTTTATCTTCCCCATCTCCTCCCTCCTCGTCAGCACTGCCCCGCACATGTTCCGAATCCCCACCCGCATTCTGCGCTCTAAAAAAGTGCAGATGTGCCAGATACCTCCATCAGTCTATATCGAGGCTAGAGAGCGTATTGAATCTTGCACTTGTTGTTGCTCTTATCTTCTACGATTGACCACTCCTGTGCCCTTTTTTCGAGATAAAGAAAATTTGCTTTGCTTCATGACACGTCTTTTGTGATATTTCTGGATATATTCATCTTTATTTGGTTCAACTGCAAAGCTTTTTCCTACGTTTTCTATCTGGCTAATTTTTCTTGGCATTGTCTCCTCGGAGAAGTTTTTTGCCTTCATTATTCGTTGTTTGCACATGCTTCCGCTTTGAAAATGGGAAAAGATTGTAAACATATAGATGGCTGAAATACGATTTTTCATATTGCTGGTGTCGTCAAACAATTTTTGTATATTCTTTGCTCGTACTTGTGCCGATAAACCTAAGTGATTAGTATTTTTTCAGGAATATTCATAGAAGTATTGCTGTTTGGTTATACATATAACTTTATATTTCTTGAGTTTTTATTCGCTTTCCATTTTCGAGGTTCTCGAGGACTTTAGGTGTCCAAAGGTTGCTCTCAATATATAATTCCAGTAATCTACTCAGTTCATAACTGCCAATAATCGCAGATTATACGTCAAAGGCGGCGGTTTGCTTTACCCTCGGCAGAGCCCATGTTCTTTTGTTCCCTTGAGAGAAAGTATGCCAATTCGAAGATGACATTCATCAAACGGTGTCCGGTTGTTGTTTTCTTGAAATGGGTAGCAACAGATCACTGAAAATGATTTATTCATGCTCACACGCGGCGTTCATTCTTCTCGGGTTCGCAGTTCAGTTTTGTTTAGTTTTTATCAAAGAAAACTTCATTCAAATTTCTAGTTTCTATTCTTTACTGCTGAAATGATGCTTAGAAATTGTAAAATCGCTCATGAAAAAAAAAGGATTTTCATTTTTGTGTTAGTCTTCTTTTTATTTTGTATCAGTTGTCAATTTTGTTGACAAAAATGTTCTGTATTGAATTATTTCTGTCAGCGCTATATAGCCACATTTCAAAGTATCTGTAGCATTTATCATTTTTTTTCTTTTTCCGCTTGCTGTGTTTCTGCAAACATGTCTCTAGCGAAAACGTTTTTTTCCAATATCCGCGCGCTCGTTTTTTGTCGCATTTTCTCTTCAAAAGAGAATGTCACACTCTATATCTATCATTTGGCGGATGTAGAAATGTTTTTCTCAAACTGGTCGGTTTTTTTTCGAATGTTACCACGAGCAGCAAAAAAGATCTTCGTCGCTTTTTGTTGCTATTGAATGCATGAATTCTTTCTAGGTTCCTTGCACATGTGTGGGGTTTGTAACTATTCTTTTATGACTTAACAAATTTGATTTTATCTAAGGGGAAATTGAATCGCACTAAGTCAGCGCTAAGCTAATTTTATAAGATTTTTTTTTGTTGCAGAGAAATTTATAGCGAGAATATTAGGGAGAAAAACTCTACTTAAAATATAGCATTATCCCATGCCACCATTTTGTTAACGTAGATTTCCTCTTTTCTCGCCATGGGAGTACTTCTGCGATATCTATCTGGACACTCTGACAACTTAAATTTCTGTGTGGTGTGGTCAAATTTTCATTAGTTACATTGTGAGTTTTTTCGGAAATTTTGTCCAAAATGTTATGTGATATTCTCACATAACTCAGTTTCTTCCGTGTGGTAAGTTGGCCTTGATAAGTTCACTGCTCTCCGTTCTGTGTAATTCATCTCTTTCATCAGTGATTAAGTTTGGCAAAGTGGGGCATCTTGCAAACTCAGCATTTCATCCCTTGTGATGCTAAAGTTAAAATATCAGGAGGTTGACTTTTTGAAATTTTTTTTTAAAAATCCCGTATGCATTAGTTCGTTATCAAATTGTTGATAATATATATGATTTTGAAGAGTTTGTTTACCCAGTCATGGCCACCTCAACTTCAAGTGGTCCGAAATTCGCTGAAGCAAACACCTGAAATAGATCTTTGCGGAATCTTCCGGCCACAGAACTTTGCTCTTTGCCTCTTTCCCCACTTTTTTCTCTTTTATTTTCCCAGGTTGCAATCAGATTTTCCTATTCAACAATTTCTGTAACTTCCAGGACTTTGCTCACTAATTTTTGCATTTTTTGGCTCGTTTTTTATCAAGTTGCAGTGAAATCTAGATCTGCCGATGCAGCAAATTCTTAATTTCCTTGAATTCGCTTTGTTTTGTCTTTTTCGTCTTTTCTCGCAGATGTATGTCTGAAGCGTTTTCATTTCTTTGCACTAGTCCTCAACTACTTTTTTTTCAATCGCACTCGCTTTTCCCCTTTATCCTTTTAGCCTCCATTTTTTATGCTACGGTGTACGAACCCTTCATCTTCGCTAGGCTAACAGCCTAGTTTTTTTTCCTCAAGTGGAAGTGTCCTCTTTCCGAGTTTCTCCAAACGTTTCCCAATCTGTAACCCGTTTTCATCAGTTCTATTTACGGCTAGTGATGTTGCATGTTAGATAAGCATGTTAGGAACGAGTTTAAGCTATTACTTGGCGTTTAGACTCATCTCTTTCGAGGAGAAATCGTGTAATGTTTTCGTCTGTACTTGCAGACTATATCATTGCGAGTTTGTAGTGTGTCATTTTAGCGTGTCGTATGCCGTCGTCGTTTCTACGTCGGCATGTACGCGGCTTACTACGGGGTAAGTTTAGCCCATCACCAAGCCTTGAAGACGCGCCCGAAGTTGAGGTAATGAATTTTTTTAATTCTAGCATTAGCTAAATAGGCTCTAATTAACTTCCATTGCAGTATGACCCACCAACACCTTCCAACGAACAAGAAGCGTTTTTCTCACAATGCCATCTAGCGGGTATCGATGGAAGGCGGTTAGACTTCCCAGAAGTGAGTATGATTGTTTACCCCGTATCAACAGAAGTACCTTTTATGACACGTTTTGAGGTGTACTGCGGTAAGACGGGCCTCGATATACCGTGTATACAACTGGAGTGTTTTGAAACTGATGTTTTCGCCAGTTACACAGGTCCCGACGGAGGTCTGACGCAGGTGAATATATCGCACAACTGGTCCTTTACGCGAATGATTTACGATTTTTCGGGATTAGTACGAACGCGGTGTGCTTTGCTTTTACTAATGGAGGTCATGTTTGGGTTCGTGTTATGATGCGATTTATGAATGCATATGAATGGTGTGCTAGGGGTTTCCTGATAAATGCGAAAGGTGTAGCTTGGAAGGGGCTCGAAGGAGCTCCCAAACATTGAAAAATTCAAATTTTAATCTTCGCTGGAGGAGAAACAGTTTTTTTTTACCATGAAATTTGTGCTTATTTCTATCTCAGACAACCCACGGGAACTTCCGCAGGCCGAGAATGTTTTCCGATGGTTCCACAGGTCTTTGTTTACTATTACAGAAGTTTGAGGCCATGGAAACTTCCGCAGGAATTTGACATCGGACTGTACCAAAAATCAAACTTCCGCAGCATTTTCCACAAAGGGCTGCGGAGGTTTTCTTCCCTGAATTTTCCAGCGGAACTTCCGCTCAATCATCTGAGACGTAAATTTCTTGAAAATTGTGAAATACTATAGTGTTGATGAGGAGCATTTTCTTCTTTTTCGTCAGATTTTCTACTAAAGTAAAAGGCAGCCAACTGTTCACATAAGTACTATGAAAGCTAATCCATTGTGTAAAGCTTTGACAGAAGAAAACATACTTACTTCGTTATCTTTATGCGGTGCGATACGACAGAAGTCTCTGCGTGCAGCTTCTAAAAATGTAGGCAATTTACACTAGAAGCGAGCTGTGGTGTTGTTTACTCAGTGTAGAAAAAAGGTAAAATGACCTGAAAATTTGGCAATAGAATTCAAATGTACTGGTTTTGGTTTTGTTCGGTAGCAGCTTTGACTAGCTTTGCATCAGTATTCCCGCAAAGCATTAGAGATTATCGCCAATGGCAATAATGTTTTCAAAGCTATCGGTTGCCTAGTGAAAACTATAACCTTGGGATGATTGAAGACGGCGGATCGTTGTCAAGTTTTTCCAGCGATCTAATCGTGCTTATCGTGTGCACGAATTTCGTTGATAGCGCTATAGAATAGAGGTGTTTGAATGTGGTGGTGTTTTTTTTTTGTAGATAAAGGGTGTCCTCAACGTTCATTCTCAGGGTCATCAGCGAAACTGGTTCTCTGGCCTGTTAGATTTTTTTCGCTGGACGGGGAAAGCGGGAAACGCTTTTGAATCTGGAGTGAAATGGAGAATGTCTGTTATGGTAAGGGGAAACATTTGCAGAAGTGGCAGTTTGTTGGCAATTTGGCGGCAGCTAGTTAGCAACTTGTTGGCAACTTCTGGGAGCAAGCCATTGGTTTGTGGAAAATATGGATAAACGAGCAAAATGTCCCTATGCATATACACACTCATAACGAGTTATTGACGGAGGAGAGGAAAATTTTGGGCAAACGAATTTTGCAGCTGTCCAACTATGTATCCAAATAAAATCCGTAGTTTAGAATGTTGAAAATTCTTTTCAGGACCTGAAAGCGAATATTTTTGTGCTCTTTTAGGTAGGAGAAATGCGACGGCAACCACTGGTCCGTATGGCAAATCTCGATGATGAGATGAGCTTATCACTTACGAGTGAAACAGACGGATCTGATGAAGAGGAAGAAGACGTGGATCAGCCATTGTCAGCGCCTTTGAAAAAAGATCGAGAGAAAAATAGGTAAGGAATTCGTTTCATATGTATGGGATAAGTAAGGTTTTTTAGCGCTTCATAATTCTAATCCTGCCAAAATAGTAAAAAGACAGTAAATCATATGATTTTTTTGAAAGTTGTACTTCTTACTCTATTTTTGTGTCATTTCTCAAAATATATCGAGAATAGATTTATCAAAGGATGTGAATGGGATTCATTGATGTAAGCCCAAGTAGTTTCTTTTTCATTCTATCATCATCGCATTCAGCTAATTTGAATGTCTAATGACTGATTAATGCGATGTTTTTCGATTTTGGCAAAAGCACAAAAAGATCGCAGAAATAAGTTCAGAGCGGTGTTACAAATTTTGCTAAGTAATTTTTAGCTGGATATTAGAGTTTTTGGGCTTTTTGGGATTTTGCAGTTTACTTCGTTTGCTAAAGATCAAATGAAACCTTTTCTCCTGTATTTTTATTGAAATTCATGTTTTTGACGGATCTTGTCTGTATAGTGTACGATAAAATTTTTCTTATAGAAGTGAGGTACTACTTGGCTCATGTTCGTCACTGCTTGGCCCTAATGGTCATGAAGATACCCCGAGTAGCCGAGGAGCAGGTTTGTGACTGGTTTAACTTTCAATTTGATCCTTTGGTTTTGTGGTTTATTCTGTCATCTCATTACGTTTTATTGCTAATAAGTGGCTCTGAAGTTTAGTAGATCTTGTTTTGCGGTTTGATTCTCTATGAGTTTTGAGTTTTTACCTTCGAACTGGTTTGAACAAACTACATACGAGCAAGCTGGTTCATTAGCATTGCAAAACCATGCATATTCTTCGGGAATAATCTCTAGCATATTTGCACTCGGCCACTTATCGTAAAGTACTCGCTCTTTGATTGAGTTGGTTGTAGCGCGGAATTGCGAAGTTTGAGGAGGAAAGGGGGAGGGGGGGGGAAGGTTGCCTACGAAAATTTCATGGCCCTATGTTGAGAGGGTCGGGTTGGTAGTTGAACTTTATGTTGGTTTGATAGGCGTTCATTTCAATCTTTATGACCTTACCGGCCGAATAAACAGAGGATTATTGGCTTTACGTTTGCTCTATCGCTTCGCTTAGCCATTTATAATTCTGCAAAAATCCGTATCCTTGTGTGCACTCAATAGTACGTCTCATCGTACGACTATAATTCAAGAACGATATGATGCAGACAAGACATTTTTCGATGTAAGGGCACGCACTGGCACGAATGTAAGATGGTGACAACATGTGCGAGTATTTTTTATCGATGCAGAATTCTGTGCAGATGTAATTTTCTTGAAAACCCTTGACTGAAGTAAGGATTTTATTCCCATTAGAGATTATCGTTTACGGGGAAAATTCACATGAAATGAGCAATGTGAGAATGTTAAATAGGGGTTGAGTAGCCAACGGCATCGCTTGAGAGACCTTTGATGTGCCGCGTTTTGCCGGCAATAACATAGGCGATATATCGCATCGCGATTGTCCCCAGCTCTATAGTGGTCGATCATCTTTGATGATGGATTGGCCAGCATTGGCGATTAGGGAAGTGATGGCTGGCACTGCGATTGTTCGCGCCTTTGTTGGAGATGAGCAGCTGAGAGAAGGGGGGGGGGGGGAGGGGGAAGAGCTATATTTGGTACAATGATACCTCATATGCTATGAATGTTTCGAAAAAAAAAAGTACTAACTGTCCTTATATCCTTCAAAAATCAGATTTTGATGCTCTACAACAGCGAGGCACCTATTTGAGCAATTGCCCAAGTCTCACCGCAGAAGGTGGATCCTGAAGCGAGAAAATTGCTTCGGAAGTTCGAAGCCGTTGGGATCGCCACGCCCATCAACGTGGGTGGTCTGAAGGTAGTAAGCCCGAAACTAGACTAAGTAGACTAAGTGGTATTGTCAAGAATCCGCATTTCATTGTCACGTATTTCCATAATCTGGACCGGTTTCGTGCTCATCACCTCTAAAACCCACGTTAATGGGCGTGGCGACCCCAGCAGCGCCCACCTTTTGGAACGATTTTTTCACAGGTGGACAGTGTATTGGAGGTTTTTTTTCGAAAATTTCCAAGTCTTTTCCCCAGCGAGTTTGACCAAAAACACTTCTCATTACATAGCTATGCGGAGAATGCTATAAATGGCTAGCCAGCTAGCATTTCGTTGCGTGTCCAGCGCGTAATTTAATCCCTCTATAGAAGATCAATGCTCTTTCTTTGTCGCACGTAATTCATGCTCTCTCATTCTACACTCGTTTCGTGAGAACGGGGAAATTCAATTTGTTCGCCGCGCTGCTGGTTTGCTAAAGAGAGCGAGAAGTGAAGCGATGAGAGGCCCATCTGAAAAGATGAGTGCGAATAAAAGAGGAGGGGGGGGGAGAGAGTTGAACTTTGACCAGACGCTGAATTTTTTTTGTGGCGAAGGTTTTTTATCTTTGGGCTCCAGTTTATATGGAGCATTGTTGAATGCTAGTTGTGCTTTCGATCAACGAGCGCAGCTTCCTTTGACGCGGACAGCGCGCGCAATTTGCGTGCGGAAAAAGCCATTAGAAAGACAATTGTCCTTTTGCGGACGTCGGCTTTTGTTAGCGGTACTTTCATTATAGGAAGACTTAGTTGAGTGTGCACCAAACATGATGAAAATGCCTGCCGAATTCACTACTCGAAAATGTCTTGATTTGATGAGCTTTTTTTCCCTCTGAAAGAGCAGACCAAAAAGATTCTAAGGATTGTCCCGGAAGCTATTTATGAGTTAAATAAGAAGCGATAGAGATTGCGATTCGTCTAACAAACACGTTTTTAAGAGATCCTGTTATTAGAGTGTGGTTTCTCGATAATGACCTGCATTCTGAGGGTCGTAATGCAATTGCTAAGAAATTTTCTGAGCGGACGGAGCGGGGGAGATGGGGGGGGGGGGTAAAGGAAGTCAAGGATAAAAGGTTTTGCTGCGTAATCTAATTTAAAAAACTCTTTCTAGGGTATGTTGTAAAAAGAATAATTACCATCGGTAAAAACTTTGTCCTTTTGCATATCTAGGAAAATAATAATAAAAACTTTTCTCAAATCGACTTCACAGTTTTCAGAGTGAGATCTTTTTCACTTTGTTTTTGCATTTGGTTACTAATTGGGTAGCTGGTTTCAGTTTGACGTAATTATGAGCTTTCTAAGTAATTACTTCTATGCGATTGTGCGCTACTTACTCTTGTTGAAAAAAAAGTTTTTTTTTGCCGAACGAGCTGTAAATACTATTATACGCTAGTTTTGGTGCATGATATACGGATTTAACCCAAGTTGTCGACGCTACCATTCGCTGCGCCCACGATTCTTGATTTGATTATGTAATTTACATACCCCAGTAGAATAACAACTTGTGGATTGAGGTTAACCAAAGATTATACGGCCCTTAGTATGCGAGGATGGTTGGGAACGTGTCAGTCACATCATGGTATTATCGTTGGACAAGATAATGGCCGAAGCACGTGCGCGAAGTTGAGAGAGTTTGAAGGGATATGTGTAAAATTGTGGGGTTTCGGGTAGTGGAAATTGGTACTAATCCGTCTTACTTAGAGGAGTGTATGTGGATATTTTGTAGGCGTTGAAGTTTGTTGAGATCGGATTCTATTGATTCTGGGTTAAGAGCAGATCGAGTAAGATATTTTTGGATGGGTTTTTTGAACCGTTATAAGGTGAGAATGATCTTTGGTTCATTTTTAGATCCTCAAGATAAATCCTCACTGTGATCTGAATTTGAGGGAATCAATCTACTTGTCAAAATTTATTCAAAGGAGGAAACGGAAGCACATAGAAAAGTAGGAAAAACGGGCCCTCTTTTGATGGGCCACTCGCTTTAGATTTTCAAGCAAGTGATAACATCCTTGCATCATCTTCTAGTCAACTTTATTTTTTACTGCGGAAGAACAGAAGTGGAATAAACAAACCGTATCCAAATTGTGGACGGTTACGCTTTGGTTTTTTTCCGTCAAGCGATTTATTTCTTAATATCATACATCCCTTACTATCCAAAATATACAGGCATCATCATCTCTATCTCTACCAAATGATGTATGAAATTGATGGATCCAAAATTATTTTCTTGTAACCAATTTCTTGAAGTGCAAAAGAGCAATGTTTCGAAATCATGTGGCTTCCACTTTTTCTACTTGCATACTACCGTATGCGGCAATTTTCTGCTTTGTTGAAAGAAATCTTGCACGACTGCAGAAGAATTTCGTAAAACGTATGAGTCACAAGCAATTATTCAGAGTAAAATCTCTGGAATGCTTCCCATGCCAAGTGGAAGAATTGTGCTTCGGTTAATTACCGCTAAGAAAATCCTATACAAAGCGGTATTAAGGGATATGATGTTTGATTTTTCTGGTCAATTTTAACTCACAGCCGTGACTTGTATAATTTCTAGGAATTTTTGGCTGGGTTTTTCTCTATCTGGGCTCTGAAAATTCACTTCAGCTGAACTTTTCAAACTTCTACAGTATATTCTATGCTATGTTTTCTCACAAGCGCATCCATGAGCATGATACCTCAATTTTGAACCGAGAACCTGTTTTTTATGCGAGGCAAACAATGGCTGAAGCGAGGACACTGTCAACAATGCGCAACAATGCGTAGAAAAGCGCAACGTAGGGCACCTGTGCCAGAGATTAGGGTTTGGTTAGTTCATGATGGGTCATGGGGGTTTCTTTGTACTTTGGATTATTCCCAAGATTTTGGGGCATTTGTGGGTCGAGGCGATGGGAGAAAATCACAGAAACCGAATGAAATTTCAAAAGTTAAACAAATAAATAAATGATAAAATAATTTTAAAATTAAATGATATAAAGTTATATAATCAACTTGAATATATTATACTATTCAAAATCGAGTTTTTGGTAGAATTTCAGCGAACTTCTTGCACAGAATTATGTGCTCTAATTCTCAAACACCGGAAGTTCCGCTGGATATCCGGGGAATGAACACCAGCAGCTAGCTCTTTCTGGAAAGTCTTGCGGAAGTTTTTATTCAATCAGTATGGCGTCAAATTCCTGCGGAAGTATCCATTTTTGGCCCCCAAACTCTATGGTAGCGAACAAAATCCTGCGATGCTGCTGCAAATATTTTCTGTATGGCGGAATTTCCTGTGGACTGTCTCAGTGTCGGGTGCTAGGAGTTTTTGTTGAAAAAATCTGCGTTCCTCGCATCCGTCATCTGTTCTGTTTTCGCTTGCCATTATGGTTCTTGCTGGCATTAGTCGAAAGCCTAAAGCCTTATGCCTCAAGGGGTTTGTTTATGTGCTTCCCGAAAGCATCAACGGCTCCGCAGTGAATTGAGATAGGTCTCCAAAGCGGCGCCATCGTAATGCTCCCAGTTGATGGAAGTGACAGCGGTGTAATGTTGTTCGCAGTTGTAAAAGATTGAAAACTAGACTCATAAAAGATCTGGGGTTGCTAGGACAGGCGAGGTTTGAAAGAAGCTTTTCAAAGCTGTACCACCTTAAATAATGAAAAAGACAAGTTATTGCAATTATAATAAATATTTTTAGTCTGAAATGAACTGTGGTAGTTGCTCTGCATAATTGCTGTGAAAAAAACTTTAACCATGACTTCCTCTTTGCCAGTGGATGCAAGCATTGAATTGTAACACGAATTTTGTCACTCTGCTTCTCTTTTGAAATAGTGCAGAAACTTCGGCAAAATCTCTATCTGGCGTGTTTGAACAAAGGATTATGGATATCAGTAATATTCAATATATAGGCATCTGTAAGCAAACTTCAACCTTCATTTTTTCTCTTTCTCTTTAAAATCTCTTATTCTTTTTTCATTTTCGGATTTTTTATGGAGTTCTGAGAGCATTGCTAATACTGAACCAGTTCGAAAGTTTATGTTATTCAAGCTGGAAATTTGCCAGAAATAATGCGGAAATTTTTGAAAAATTCAACTATTGAATTTTTGTTGTGAGATGCACTCATAAGCTAGTATGGTCCAGGTAATTTGAAAATGGGGAAAAATCTTACACGGAATTTATGAAGGTGTTTGTCTTCAAATGTTATAAAAATCACTTTTTTTGTCTTCAAATGTTATAAAACTTACTTTATAGCCTAATAATAGTTTGCGATGTTTTTCTATTCGAATCAGAAATGGTCCTGGTTTGTATCCTTCCAGTTTTACTCACCTTACTCTAGTCTTCAAGGACTGCTGCATTTATTTACCAATCTGATTTTGAACCTTCGAGCAAATAATCTGTTGATCCTACAAACTTTGCATGGATTGCACTTTGGCGATTATGTTGATCCATATCGCGCTAATACCGCGATATGATTTTTTGAGTTTGTACTCTGCAAAGCACATTTATTTGGGTTAGGGTAACAGATGGGTTGTCGAACATTGGTTTTATCGCGGTCTGATAAACAGTTTCAGGGTTTCTTTCATTCCAAAAATTTTGTAAATGAGTGAATCAATAAAAACTGATGCTTGCCTATGCTTGTGATTATGCTCAGCTACTTGGTCATGTCTGTTCACTTTTCGTGAAGCAAAGAAAAGTCTACTGAATATCAACTTGCAGAACGCTATGACTGGAATCAATTTGATGAGAGACGAGCTTTTGGCGCATCTGTTTCCCTCTACGAAAAGAATCCTCTCACTGGAGTGAACGCCGGTGAACCAGTTGCAGACGTATGGGGAGTGGTTGGCAGGAGCAACAACGGGGTACGAACATTTTGCTTCCGATTTTTTTGATCCCTTGAGGTTATGTTTGTGTACAGGTGCTAGCGTTGGCTGACGGAGTGAATTGGGGTGAAGGAGCTCGTTTAGCTGCACGATGTGCCGTTCGTGGTGCCATTGACCATATGAATGAACACATCGAAGATGGCAATTTGGCCAATACAACGGTATTTTCGTTATTTCAGTGGATTTTTTGAAATCAGTTCCAAAAAAATTGGGGACTTTGAATCCGTCTCAATGATATACCTTTTCATATCTCACTTACTCGCGCAATTTTCAATAATTTATACATATCAATTTGAGTTTAGGAAGTTTTTCACGAGCTTCTTGCTTCATTTCATTCTGCCCATTCGCTAATATTGCAAGAGGGCGGTATGCTTACAACCCTCTGTGTCGCCGTAGTTGCACCTGCGATTCACTGCGACAGGTAAGAAAATTCTTAAATTCGTTCTTTAATTTTTTATTATCTCCGGCCACATCTTTTTTCAAAAGTTTTTTTTACGAAATCGTTATTATTCCCTTTTAATGTCTCATGTACACATTTCACTCACTTTACTTCGTAATCTCGTCAAGTTTTTCGAATATTCAGCTGGGTACTGTGCGTGTGCAATGTTGGCGATTCGCTTTGTTTCGTTTATAATCGAAATTATGGTGTACGAGAAGTAACCATGGGTAGCCATGATATCGACCAGGTATGTAAAGTTTTCTTCCTTCTACCTTCATGTAATTTTCAAAGCTTATCTCATCAAATCTCAGAACATTTGTGCTTCATAATTTACGAAGAAATTTAGATGCGGGATATGCGAGATGCGGGTGGGGCACTAGGCCCTGTTGATGGCCGAAATCCACAACTACATAATCTCACTTGTAGTATGACTTTTGTTGAAGAAGGTACCCTTTTGGACATACACTGCTATTAACTCGTAAACTAAATCTTTCTAGGAGATATTGTATTCATCACATCTGATGGGGTGTCTGACAACTTTGACCCGGTTGTTGGAAAGTTTTGCGTCATTAAGCGGGCTGAAACGGATAACAAAGAAAATTCGCAATTACCTCCTAGGGACAATAGAAAACTGTCAGTGTGAGTATCATTCCATGCACTTTGAGTAAGCCCCTCAACTTGTTATTTTCATGCTTATAATTTATAGAGCTACCAAGGATTCACCATCTCGAGAATTTGCTCGACCCAGGCCCTGCGCTGCATCCTTGCCGTGTGTGGATGCTGCCAGTCGTCATGAGCTGATGTTAATCAGAATGAGAGACATCATAGCGAATGGGATAGATCCTCCCAGAGAAGTAAGTCGTCTCTGCCAACCTATAAATTCTCTTTGACCTTTTCTGTGTGGTCAAATCATTTTTTGAGCATTTTACGGAAATATGTTTTTCATGTCTGTAGCGCTCTATTTTGATTTGTCTGCTGCTCTCTTGTTGCATTCTACGAAAATTTAGGTAATGCGTCTCTCACCACGACGAGAGCCATTATTTCCACTTGTAAGTGCTTCGGTTCTATCCCATCGCCTTATCCAATTTGCCACTCATTTAAGCCAGTAAGTTTGCAGACTAAAGTACATTGTATAAGACATAATTTTTCTTTGCAGAGCGAAACGGCGAACCCTCGAAAATCCAGAACTCTATAAGAAGGAGAAGATGACAAAATCAGAACAGCGAGCAAGGTAAGAATTTAGTTGGATGTTCTGAATCAGGTTTACTCCTTTGATTTGTGGAAGTCGAGCCTCAGAATTTATTTGGTCCATCATTTATACATGCATTAATTGTATGTGGGAGATGTCTCGTTGCTCCTACGAGAATTTTTTTTCTAAAAATTTGCTTTAAAATGCGCTGTAAGGAGTATGCTGTTTTTTTAGGAGGAAAGCTGTACGAGAAAAAATTGCAGATATGCCTGGAAAATTGGATCATGCCAGTGTGGTGGCATACACAGTTGGAAGACGTGATGGCAAAACAGGTGGGCCTTTTTTCTTGTTCGTGTTCCTCGTTTTATTTATTATTCTTCCGTTTTCCTCTGAAAACTTTAGCAGCTCCTGTATGGATAAGATTCAGATTTCCAGTTTCCGATGACCGATAGAGCGGATGTTCAAAACTTTCATTTTAGGCTTGAACTCGCCTATGGTCAACAGAATGAACGGTCATGCTCAAAGTGAAGCCAACTGTGAGTTGAATATAGTTCTGGCGACACTAATGTTACACTACACCTTTAAAACGCACCTTAGAGGTCATGGAGTCTTATTTTAGGTTTACCTGAGGAAGATAAAGATGATGACGCAATCCTTACTCGCACAACAAATGTAGCAATGGAAAATTTCACAAGAATGGATAAGGCTTCGGTGGGTGCTATCTCTCAAGTTTTTCTATCTACTTTGCCCCATATTTTCTGGAGTCCTTAGTACAGGTGATGCTATAGGTATTGTGATTGGGTTTCTTTTTGTGTGGATTGTTGAACTTGATTCGTTTATTTTGCGAGGCGGATTATTCTTGGCATCTGGGTGAGAGCTAACCAAGGTTGGGCTCTTATGACCAAAACTGCTGCGCAGTCCCAATTTTCATGACTTGAGTCTAAGAAAGGAGATTTCTAGAAGAATTTTGACTTAAATCTTCTACTTGCTCTTGAGTGTTTTGATTGTTGTCACTGAAGTGTAAGATGTCTACACATTTCCCGCATTAATATGAACTAGGTACACTCTCGACACGTATGATTGTTGTGTTTTAGTGCTGTGCAACTTTGACTATGCGCAGCGGCGACCGAGCCAGAGCAACTTTGAACGTACGCATGCCATCACCACAGAATTCACCAGTCCTGCCACCATCCACCAGAAGATCTCGGCATGTGACTGACTATCCACTCAGGGATATCGTTGAACCGCGAACACCAGAGCGACAGGAACGGCCTATCAGTCCTTACGAACAGTTGCCTGTGAGTTGCTTGGTCTGTAGAGCATGAAAAAAGTATAGAAGAAGTGCAAAAGAAATCCTTGCATGTGATCGGACGTCTGGTTATGAAAAGCAAAGCACGTTAGCATGAAGAATCGCTATGACCATGTTTGAAAAAATTCATGAAGTTTTGAAAGTGTGAAGGTTAGCTTCGGACGAAGTCGCGTGGATGACCGTTGCGGAGCGGACGCGAATGCGGCCGGCTCACATCTGTTTCGCTGAGGCGCGGAGGATGCACACAGTGTAGTCGAACAAGCGCTCTCGCGACCCTTTCTCGTTGCTTTCCTGTATGGGCAACCACCTTCACTGGCACTGGCCCTTGAAAACATTAAGGCCATTGCGGACCATAAAAAGATTTTACTAAAACAAGTCCAGCTGTTTTGTACCAAAAACACGCCTTTCTGAAATAGGCAGTGAGTTTTCTCTTCCTCGTCACATCCTCCCCTTCCCACTCCTGCTCTACCATAGCTAGATATCTCGCTTATGTAGCGATAGAGCTGATTGTCTCTAGCTTAAAAATAGCGTTAAAACCACTTCTCAGGGTTTGCCACGGCCCCAAAGCTTTTCAAGTCGTTCGACGACATCTGTGAAGCCATTGGTAAAGTGTTCCACTTCTAAGCCTAACAATGCGTTTTTTGTGCGACTTATGGAAGACTAACATTCTTACTAATATGTAAACACGCTAGACGTTTCGTGATCTATCTGAATTGTTCTAATCTTTGAAACTTTTCTAGCCGTAGAAAATAGTGCTTGCAAATCTGGTGGAGTGTATTAAATGGCAAGACCGAAGGCTCGGATAAATAGAGGCGCAATTTTACCAGTACAAAACAAGGTAGGTTGTCTCAATGAGAGTGTCACATCTCCAGAAGCTTGAATCCTTGCGACCACCTCGCTCGGGTATTGCGCTGCGCTCGCAAACGTATTCTCAAGTATTTTCTGGCGTTTAAGCCTTAAATGAAGGCTGGCGTTCGTCGGAAAGAGGACACTTTCGCGAAAGCAGCACAAGGTCGAGCGAGACGGGCGCGAGAGCCGGACCTTTGGATCTGGGACACTGGCATTGAGACAGCCTATACGCAATACATTTTTCGAATGTTGCTATTTACGATAAAATTGCGCCTATAACAGAAAATTTAACCATTTTCGGGATGGTTCACTATCCTATTTTTCTGTTAACCGCTAGCCGTAGATTCTTCGTTTTTTTTCAGATAAAAATGCAGACCTCAAGAGACCCGATGGATTCTACTAACAACAATAATAATCGTCGCAAGAAACATAGCAGAGGTTCATCTGCACGACATACGCTTGGTGTTGACGTGCAGTGGTTAAAAAGATTTGTCGGTAAAAAAGATGAACCGGAATCTACACCGCCACCAATCACGCCGTCTAATGAAGAGAGGTACGCTGTTTTTCTACTGTTTTTGCATTCATGTAGTTTTTTTCTACAACTGTTGCTTTTTCTAGTTTTTTTTTGTGGAGGGTACACTCGTAGTCATACTTTTTGAGTCACTCGAGAGTTCCGTGGTGTAGGATGATTTATGTTTGATATCTCACCACAGCGCTTGATAAATTGCAAAAGTCTTGTTTCCTGAGTCGCACATCAATCCACTTGTTCCCATGTTCACTTGATTAATGTAGCCTGTGAATGTAGCAATTTATCGAGAAATTTTTTATCGTCTGAAGGGAAGGATGAGAAACGTTGCGATTGCTAATCTTACATCGCAGAAACTTCTACTTCTGTCGTATATAGCACAGAATGGTTTTGTTATGACCATTAGCAGGGAGAACGTGATTTTTGACCGAGACCTCGTTGAATAACAAATTTTCCAGCGTCACAATTGTTCATGAAACTAATTAAATCGCATCTCGCCGACAAATACTGCCGTCTATATGGGGATGCAATGTAGTGTGCTGCATATTACTATAGCTTTCATGATACATGCTCAGACAATTGAACGGAACTTCCGCAGAACGTTGGAAAAGTTCCGCCGGGTCACCTGCGGGGGTTCCGTTAACGTGCAGCGGCAGTTCCCAAATGAGGTGTTGCGGAAGGCCCGAAGAATGCGAACCACATCAGCAAAAGAGAACACCTAGGCGAGATTCGAACCTTACTCTAATGACTGTGAGGCTCACCTACTATGCTCTCCACTACGGCTGACATGTTTGATAATACACTCTAGTTGTTGGCGAGACACATCATACGAGACAGCATATTCAAAACCCTGTGGATGTATTGGCATGTCAAAGTGCTGGGGAACCGTCGGCATTGTTCGGAAGTTCCGCAGCGCCGTGTAAAAAGTCCAGCGTAAGTTCTCATTTTCAACCGGTCTGACGTAAAAATCCTGCGGAAGTTCCCATTTTCAACTTTTTCACTTTTGCAATAGTAAACAAAAATCTGCGAAACCGCTGCAAATTTTGCTTGTCTTGCGGAAGTTCCGGTGAATTGTCTGAGTGGGTCAGTGTGGCAGGTGCACTCTTTTCAGCGAAATCCCACAAACTTGAGTTAACAAGAGTGCTAATTTTTCAAAACATTAAATGTCAAAATAAAATAAGTACAGATTCTCAAATGGTCACAGCTACCTCAGTCTTCCCAAAGATCTTCTATTGTTTTGTTTTTAGTGGTGAATGTTACTTACTTAGCATATGGGGCTCTCTATGTGGAAACTTGTTAGGCCTCGGGCATACCTCACGCGATTTCAGTCGCCACGCGATTTGACAATACTCCAAATGTTCATAACTCATCGTACGGGGTTTCTGAATGTACGGAAGGTGGGGCATTTTATCAACCTACGAAAGCTATACATGCTGTGCATTTGGGATCTACCAGTATTGAATTTGAAGACAACTGGCAAATTGCCAGATCGCGTGGCAACTGGAATCGCGTGAGGTATGTCTTAGGCCTTAGGGAGTCTCAATCAAGCCTTTCCCTATTCTGACAACTGACCGGAACTTCCACAGAACGTTTTGGTTTTGCCGGTTCACCTACGGAAGTTTCGTAAACGACGTGCTGCGGAAGTTCCGAAGAATGCGAACCACAATAGTATAAGAGAACACCTAGGCGAGATTTGAACCTTGCTCTCTTGACTGTAAGACCTTCCTACTATCCTCTGCACTACGGGTTACATGTGCAATAATGCACTTTAGTTGTTGGCGAGACATCATCACGAAACAACACGTTCAAAACCCTGCGGAAGTACCGGCATGTCAAAATGCTGCGGAACCACGAACATTTCGGGAGTTTCGCAGTGTTTTGTAAGAGGTCCTGCGGAAGTTCCCATTTTCAACGTTCTTTTTTGCAATAGAAAACAAAATCCTGCGGAACCGCTGCAATTTTTCTTGTTCGGCGTGAATTGTCTGAGTAAGCAGCAGTTCTAATTCATTTGTGACCGAAAAACATTCCTAAACCCTTGCCTAAATCGTATTCGTTTTATGAGGACCTAACACCGCCTCGGAGTACGTGCAATTGGCCTTTTGAGTGTCAACGGTTTAGTTCTGTTCGTCGTTACAAACTCAATCAGACCGGCTGTTTTATACTGTTCCCTGAAAGCCTTGAAGGACATAGAGGTGAAAGCGATATTAGCAAGCAAAGTATATCTTTGGAACACTCGCACATCAGATCTTCTTCGAGCTAAGCCTTTTTGAATATCTGCTACATCAATGAACTTTTAATTGAAGATATGGATCATTTCCTCGTTTAGTTGCAAGAGTTCAATGACAGCAATGATGGCCGGTGAACGAGTCTCACTACGTCAACGTCTTCGTGTACTACTGGGATCAAATCGGAATCTTCACACACATCATGTGGATCCACAAATTGCGCATGGTGCTGCTGATAAACCATCTCGACCACAATGTCTGGCACTGAAGAGCAGCTGCAGGGTTTAGAGCATGTCCTCATCTTCCATGAATTTATAGAACTGTTTTTTTGTAGTGATATACACTAGTAGATGACCGTGTATCGTTGAGATACGTTCAGAGCTGCTTGCGTGCCGGCGCCGTGTCGGAACCGCACAGTGTGATCGATCGATCTCGCTGACGTGGTACCGGCACGGCGCTGGAACGGTACTGGCATCGGCTACTATGGATACAAGCTTAGAAAAGAATATAATCGCAAACTTATGTGACTATTCCTATGTCTTCTTCTCTGTACCTTATTTTATTCATTTATTCGTATTCTTAGGACGCTTATATTGATTTTATCGATTTCTCGAAAAGGTTTACCTTATAACTCTTGTTGCTGACATCTAATCCACTCCTCTATACGTGTCTTTCCATCCTTAGAGACGAAATTGCGTTCGCTTGCTCCTTGTCGTCACACATGATTTCTTCTCTAATAACCTTGCTAATCAATAAATCAATATACGTAAATATCTGCCATGCACTCTTCTCTTTTGTGTAATCTCTGCCGAATTTTTTTTGCTGCTATGGTTTTATATAGTATGATGAGCTTAGCTACCGTTGAATCTTATTCTATTAGTATTGATGATCTTCTTTCAATGTTACATTGTATTAATTAGGCTAAAAGTATTGCCTGTACATAACGCCCCACCCCTTTTTATAGTAATGTCTATCTCGGTTTCTATTGGATTATTGAGAAATTGTTGCTACGTGATTGCAGTATGACGTTTTCCAGAGAAGTGCAATTCTTCAAACCGTTGTACTGTATTTTATCGATTTTTTTTCTTCTTCGCTTTGAAGAATAAATGTTTTTTTCGATCAAGTATCACTTAGTAAAATTACGAAGGTAAATTTATCATCAAGTGCCAGATTGGAAGGATTTTTTCTAGATGGCAATACGGCACAAGTGCGCATTGCATCCTTGGCATGGTAATAGGCCGTCACTCCCTTCCTTGGCGATTTTGGGCGGGAATACTAGCTCCGCCCCCTACTGTAAACTTTTGGATTTTTTGCGCACGTTCTTCCAGCATTGTTGGCTTTCTATAAAGTTAGATTCTCAAATGTAACAACAGTGTCTGCAAAGCTTAGAAATCAACCATTTGAGAAGTTTTTTTCCCACAAAAAATCAGTGTAAGAGCTTGTTACAGGTTTTTTTCTTATGATGTATGGGATAGACAGGAACATATGCCAGTTGCATTTCTGGATTCACGTGAGCTCATTTGGATGAAACTTTAGAGAAGACGAACAGCTGTTGTGGCGCAGGTGTAAATGCTCTTTAACTGAGTTTAAAAGAGTAGAAGATGTGATGGAAAGTGGTTGGAAAGTGCCAGCAGTGAACGACTAATTTTCCGAGAATTTTTCTGGTAGAAGGCTGCCTTGCAAAAATTGCAAAATACATCCGTTATTTTCTGATTCTAAGCCGAATTTTGGGGCAATTATTACAACAAAGGAGCGATTAGCAGATGTCCAGCAGGGGTATAGAAATCGTAAAACCTTCTATCGCATGCTTGTACTTTGGGAAGATATAGCTTCTGCTGTTTTTATGGGAAAATGCACATGTTGCATGTACTATGATAATACTATAGCCGAAGACGTTAAAAGAAGTCTAACATTAATAATTTTAGGATTACGGTATCGCAGCCGCATTTTCTTTTAACTGAGCCGCCTGTCGTGCTTTTGCCCCCATACACTTAGCACATCCGGACAAATGGGATTTTTACGAGCACGACGAATCGGCTGAAAGGTACACCGTGGCAATAATTTTGAGATTTTTACCTCAAAGCAACGAGCTCAGCTGTCGCCGACGCGCCTGAGGTCGCGCCGCTTACACAGCGCCGACGGCGGCTGCCGAAGCGACCCGCGTCTGTCGCTGAGGTGGCATTGATTCGAGAAATTCGATCAGTCACTCATCACTTCTGGGCACTTCTGGACGAGTTCAGGATACTTGGACCTTTTCGACGTGTGGTCATTCTGATTTGTTTTGTTGAATAGGTCTCTCCTATGCTTTTATCGTCTTAAGCCTATCAGAAAGCTAGATCCTGGCATTAGTTCCCATTTCGATGATTTCCTTGTGTTGTCTTTATATGTAAGTTCTATTCATCATACGACAACAACTTGAAATCAAAACCTGCTTCCAAGCAAATGTGGCGCCTAGGGCTTTAACTTGGAAAATGATTGTAGGTCTCTAATTAAGGCCCTATCCAAAAACGGTGGCTTAAAGATTCATCCGCAAACGAGGAACACATCACCAAACCCATTCCCAGTACCGTATTTATCGAAATGCATCGGTTTGCATGCTTTCGTGTAGGAACCTACAGCTCTCGTGTTACGCACGGCGCTGATAAAGGATTGGACATGGGATTTCCGGCCGTGGATGAATCATTTGCTTAATTGAACTGTACCTTAGGAGGCAAGGTTTCCATGAGCTCAGGTGCCGGATCTGCCTGTACGCCTTCAAATAAAGGACAAAATTATCGAGAACTTTTTGTAAACCATCTGGCAGTCTCTAATTAAACCTCCATTCTAGTATGAATATGAATGGGTCCTCTCAAGAATCTTTCCGATTTGCTTTTTTTTCAGTACTGGCATCCAGCTTAAACTGTGATCAACATCATTCTAACATATGAAAGTTTTCATGCAACTTGTACATCATAATGACGTAAAATTACACATTACATATGTAAAACCGTAACATAGCAGCTGACCTAACCACGAGGTCGAGAAGTCTGTTCCTAAAAGATTCCATCTCATATTCATTATGGAAGTGAGCCCACCCTGAAACCTTTTCACAAAAATTGCTCTTCGCGATTTTTTTACCGGAATTATTTGATGAGAACGAAAATAAATCCAAGTTTCTTCATCACTCAGCTCTCGGCGCCATGACATTCAGATCGTTCGCATTCAAAATAGTTGGTGGTTCATTACTTTTCCCCATTAAATTATTCTCAAAAATCTCAAGAAAACTCGTATCTGGGCATTGTCTGGCGTTTTTAAAGATGATATGGGTATAGATTCTGATACATTCAATTTTTCTGCATATTTGCCCTATCATTTCCCCATGCTTTTTTACAAAGTTGAAATCGCCTCTTTAAAGCAGATTAGAGGTTTTAGCTTCAGTAAAATTGACGTTCCAGCTGAAAAGCTGCCATAAATCAGTCCCCTTTAAGAAGCCGAAATTTCTCATCCCTAAATTTAATTGAGCCACGTTTTAATATGATATTCTCGACTCAAAAGTTGTCGACCAAACTCTACATGGTCCATCTTGTGCTGCTTTTTCCGTTCTCGAAATTGATTTTCCAATATTTAGATTTATGATGACATGACTCTAACTATGCGTATTCTTACTGCATCATTACTTCTGCTCTACTTCGCCTTTGGCGCGCAAGCGCTACGGCATTCTCTTTGCACTGCGGCTACATTACGTCTACGAGGTAGAGATATCGTCGATGCATCAAGAGGTTCCGTACTGGTGGCAATATTCATGCCTCTACAATGTGCTTCATGTCATCGACAAATGAAACGGTAAGTGTACTGCAGTCAACTCACATTAATCACCAGCCTTCTGCACATAAAATGGCTAAAAAAGGAAGCGAATTTTTACGAATGTATGTAAGATTTACTGATTTAATTCGTTAAAGGATAGATCTCATCTGGACCACTCTAAAATTAGCAGATGACAAGACCTCCTTTCTTCTCTCCCTATCCCTCCTCCCTCCTTACCCCCTTGACTTCAACCTCTCGTACATAATTTCTTTTAATCATTTTCTCCCATATGTTGATCATGCATTCGAATTTTTCGAAATTTTTAATCCATCTTATCAAGAATTTATACATTTGTTTTCTTTTATTTTTTTCTATATTGGTCACTTAAGCAGCTTTTTCGTCTTCAACTCTGTCATCTATCCTTTGTCATCCATCCTCTCTATTTTTTGCCATAATATTTTCGCCTACACTTTGTTCATTCATATATATTAGGTTGTCCCGAAAGTTTTGTCCGTTTTTTCAACCTATCATAAAAATACGTGGAACAAAGATAGGGAAACGCTCTAAGCACTACCCGACGCATCTTTTCCTCCTCTTTCTAAATGTCAAGCCCACATGCCGATTACTTTTTTTCTCACTGAGATAAACGCCGAAATTTCGAACCCATGGTTTTTACTATGTCCAAGTTTGACAATTTTCCACAATCTTCATTTTCAACTTTTGGAAGACCTTCGACAACTTTCAGATAGAGTAAGCGAAGGGCAATGCAATGCAATTATTTGGCATATCTAGCTGGCTTTTCAATATTTTTAAAGATAATTTTTTCAAAAGTCTACACTTTTGCGAAGTTCTAAAATACAGAAACGCCTCGAACACTAACAAATCATCGGCTTTTGAAGCTTCCAAAAACCGACTACGATTATTCACTATTTTTACGAAGCAAATAAGCGTTTACCGCTTCAAAATATAAGATTTTGCATTTTACGTGTACACGCTGGGGTGGGGTCAAATTCAAGAATTATGAGAATTTTATCGCCAAATACCCCGCAAATTGGAGAGAAAATACACTCATTGGAAAGAGGAGGAAAAGCTGCATCGAATAACACCTTAGTTGTGCGCCGTTTCAAGATCTCTGGCTTTTGGCACCACCAAAAGTGGAATTTGATGGCATCAGAAAAATAATTCTAAAAAAATTTTCAAGGCTGGCTATAGATGCCGCAAAATTGCATTATGCTTCCCTTTGTTTGGTCTATCTAATTGTTGCCAAAGCTTTTTCGAAAGTCAAAAATTAAGATTTTGAAAAATTGCCAAACTTGGACATAGTAAAACATGGGTTCGAAATCTCGGCGTTTATCTCATTAAGCAAAGGAGTAATCGGCATGTGGGCTTGACACTTACAAGGGAAGTCACTTAACTTAGGTCCGGCTTTTGAAATGAGACACAAACGGTTGGAATCAGCTTGAAACGCTGATTTCAAATCTGCTTTCCTTAGCTGCGAAGCGTTCCTCTGAAGCGAGTTCTGAGCCTTTTCGTGAGCAAATTTTGCGTGTTGACCGACTTAGGCATGCTACGGTATCATCATCTAGGTAGTGGTTCAAATGCATATTATATCCTATCAAAGCCAAATGACTCAATTCGATGTTATTATAATTTTTCACCACTTTTTGGGCAGATTTTCATTCAAAGACCTTCTTTTCATATTCACTTGTATGTCAATGACACATACTAAAAAAGCTCATAACTCGCTTCAGAGAAACGCTTCGCAGCTAAGAAAAGCAGATTTGAAATCAGCGTTTCAAGCTGATTCCAACCATATTGTCTCATTTCAAAAGCTCGACCTAAGTTAAGTGACTTCCCTTGTTAGAAAGAGGAGGAAAAGATGCGTCGGGTAGTGCTTAGAGCGTTTCCCTATCTTCGCTCCACGCGTTTTTATGATAGGTTGAAAAAACGGACTAAATTTCGGGACAACCTAATACATTAGATTGTCTCATAATTTGTAAGTTTTCTAGTCTCTGTGAAAAAGCTGATTTTCAAAGGGAAATCAGTTTTCCTGGAAATAGTATCTGAAACCCTATTCTTCTAGTTTTTGAGAATGCATTTGTTTTTGCAAAGTCGCTAACGATCAGACAGTTTTGTGCTATAAAATGCTTAGCAAAGTTATTAGGTTGGCACATAAGTTTTGCAACTTTTCCCGTAACTTTTCTCTTATATTATGTAGCAATCTCATTTTATGGCATCATGTAGATCGTGATGTAAGCTGCAAGTCTGCGCAAACCGTTTGATTTTTGATAACGTATTACAAAAAATCTAAGCATTTTTCGAAAACTGCTGAAAATCGAGGTTTCACGGTTTTTTGGCAATCATGAAGCCCTACGAAACCGGCATTGAACATATTATAAAGCAATTATAGGCAGCATGTAGCTAGAAGTGGATACATTGGAATCAGTAAAAAAAGAAATGAAATTCAAACGCAAATCAAGGTGGGGCGCTTTTGAGAAGTTGAACAAGTCAAAAGCGTCAAGTTTTGAAGACAATTTGTCAATAACTAAACTGCGAAAAGTCAGCATTCGCTATAATTTTGCACTGTAGGTAATCCTATACAGTGAACACGAATATCATATTCATTTGTCGCTAAAATGAAATTAATTTCTTGATCTCACGAACGAGGCCTTTTCATGCGAAACGGATCTCATTTTTGTGATCAGCATGTCGAATAAGCCCTATTGGTCAAGTTTCAGCAAATTCTGATGCATTCTAAAATTTTTCCCATAGTACCATAAACCTACCGTAATTCCCACATAAGATGGTAAAATTCGGCAAAAATGTGTGCATTAGAAGCTTACATCATAATCCTTATATTGCCAAAAAAATGAACGCGCTACGTTCAAAGAGACAGAAGTTATATGAAAAGTTGCATTACTTATGTGCCAACCTAATAAATTATATAAGAATTTTGAGTCGAGAAATTTGGCCTCAAACGTGGCTGATCTCTGAGGTTCATTTATGCTACATAAAAGATTTGGTCTAACAGTCATTGTACAACTTTCGGTAGACGGCAGGATTTTCTCGCTTTTTAGAAGAGGGGAATTTAGAAAATTTCAAAAAAGCAGTTTTTCTCTTCCAAAATGCTGAAAAAATTGGGCTCTTCCAATTTTTTGCATTAGTTTCTCATAGTAAAATTTAGTAAATTTCTATCTTGTCTCCTTTGCTCAACCGACCATCGGGTATGAATAAACAAGTTTGCGCCATCCTAGTGCTCCTGAGATAAGTAAGGCTTTCTCAAGGTAGAGCTTTCCGGAAAATTCGGCAGTTCTTGAGCCAGAGAATCTTTCACGTAGTGATTACAGTTATCTAAAAGTATGCGTTGTGTAGCTAAAAATTTGCTATATGCAATAGTTTTTATCACACTCTGGAAGATGGGTATGGAGAAAAATTATCTTGATTTGAAATTGGAATTTAGAAAACATGCATTATTTATGAGACATCTCAAAACACTCTCGAACTATCCACTCATCTTTCATCTATTCCAATTTAATCATCTCTATTTTTACAAAAATGCTTTTTTCTTCGCCTCTCGTTCGCTCAGTGTTATTTTTCTAAACGAATTCACTTCTTCTAGCTACTTGATGATTCATTCATTCTTATATAAGTAGTTGCGAACCCCACCATTCCTTTGGAATGCTGAAGTTATAGATAACATTTTCTACGTTCTTTACATGGAATACCTGATCACTGGAAAAATATTTTCACCCACAAATGTAAGCAAATCTCCAACAATATATCATCTTTCGTGTATATAAGGCCAAATCCAGCTTACTGGTTTTTGCACTCGAAGCGGTCATTGTGGTTCCGCTGATCGCTTTCATCTTTCTGTTTTTCCTTACGTACAACTTGAAATCCGATAGCCATGACTGAAGTATTTTGCCGCTAGACGGTTTGCGCTCACCTGGGTCCAGTTCGCAAAAGGAATTTGCTCTGTGAGGCTCAAATTTCTCGTAGATTCAGCGCAGTACCGTCAAGAGATTTGCGTGAGATCCTTGCCAACCATGTTGAATGTAAGTTGATCTTCTTGAAAATACTAACAAAATATTCTGTTTGAAACAAAAAAACCGCACATTTTTGGCCTCTTGTTCTTTTCCGTAACTGTGTGGAATGTCCAGATGCTTTACCATCAAGCTTCGGGACTTTTCCCTTACAGAGTTTTTTCCCTTGTTTCTTCTTTTTCCTTTATCATTATAATCTCATCTTCCTCTTGTCAGTTACGACAAGTGGGAAAATTTTGATACGCCTTGTACGCCTTTGATGAGGTCATTCAAGTTGATGTGTTTTACCACTTCTTAATTGCTAGGGTTTTGCTGATTAAAAAATCTGAACAAATGGAAACGAAAACGAAATGACGAAGATGTCTTGATTAGAGATTGTTAGATTGACTGTAGATGGACTATAAAGCAAATCATCGGAAAATGCTCAGAAAGAAATTGTGTGCTATTTTTGTTAGGCCTTAGATTGCAGTGTGAATTAGCTTGTTCGCACTCTACATATATTTTTGTTCCTCTGTTTTTGTTGAAAAATCCGCTGTTATTTCGTCGAAAATTCTTGAGCTTTCCTCTCTTTGAAATTGGCCTGTCTGTCTTTTTAACCTCTCCCCTTTGCTTTGGATTATCCAAATGATTAAAGGTAGCATGGTTAAAAATCAGCATAATTGCCTCAAGTGATTTTGTTTGATCTTTCCGCAAATGCTTTATCGCTTCAGAGCACGATTCATCGTCCTCTGATTCCCAAGCTATCCTACGTTGACGGTGGAGCAAGTCTAAAAAAATTTATTTTCTAATCACTCTTCAGTGATTGTTTAATTACGGGAATACTATAGTGAGCAATGTCCAAGCTCAGACAATCTTTGATAAAGTTTTACAATTCAATATGATAGCACATCTTTATGAGTCTTTCATGTTCCTTGGCACCTTTGTGCCACACCCCGTGCTGATTGCGCTCACCCGGGAAAATCCAAAAACGGATGTGGTGAAAACTGGGGTGAAAGCCTGAGAATTGAGACGGAAAAGCATAGAAACAAAAATAACCAAAGCAATATATTCTGATACTAATGCACACATCGACCGGCACATCAACACACTACCTGCTATTGTTAGGACAATTGTTACCAATCACTTATTTCTTTTCCCTGTCACGAAGAGAAATCTGGTTTTTTGCATGTTTTTCAAATCACGATTCATTCAGGTTTTGAATTTATCTATTTAATACATAAGAACGGCACTAAAATAACAAAAACGCAAAGTAGGGTACAGAAGGGTTGGGTTGGATCAAGGCTGAATCAGATTTTTCGAGTGATTGCAGCTTTGCCGAAATCTTTTTCCTTACCTGAACGCGGTAAAAAGGCCAGAAATTCCTTGAATTCTGTAACAAGTCACCTTGTCAAATAAAGCCAAAGTACATAAACACTAGAAATCAAAAGAGCTAATGAACCACTGAAGCGGTGCTGATCAGCCGTTCAAGTGTCCACGGCCGTGACGGATTCTCATCGGCGGCGACAAATATTAACCTTTGTAGGCTCTCGTACATGGCGTCCACATTAGCTGACGTACGTGTGGTCGTCATTGCACCGTCCTATGAGGCACCAGTGACCGTATCCCGAATTCAAAATGAGGTATGCATTGGTTAAGACAACCCTTAGTTTGGAATAGAATAAGAGTTTTCTTTTTATTGTAGTTCCCGCGTCTGGTAATTGACCGAGATGTGGACGAGTTATGGCGAGCATATCAAGCATCTAATCACGATCAGCTCATTTTTGACAGGTGCGCTAACGGAGTTTTTTTCGCTGTGTAGTCCGTATCTGCAGTCTAACGCGCCAAAGCTTCAGAGAGCGTGAAATTACTAACTTAAAAAGCTTTTCAAGGGTTTAGCCCAAGAGATGTAAGCAGAATTGTTCTCTTTATTTCCTGATCTATTCTAGTTGAAAGGACCACAGCATTGATATAACTCCCATTATGTGAGCCGGGTTACTGTAGGATTACTGTACCGATACAGTCATGTGCAAAATTGACTTCACAAATCTTTAATGTTTCATCTGGGATCCTCAGTCTAGGCATTAGTCAAAAGGGCAATGACGGTGCTACAACATCTTTCCCTTTAGATAAGGTGAGGCTAAAGCACTGTAGGGTTACTTTAGCGGAGAAGTTGTGCGCAGAATTGTCACAAATTTTCAAAGCTTCATCTAGCGTCGTCTTTCGATCGCGATTAGTCAAAGGCCAATGGCAATTTTTACAACACCTATTCATCTTTGGAACGTGACGCTATACAGTAGGATACTGTAGGATTACTGTAGTTGGGCTTTCATATGCAAAAGTGGTTATGGCTAGTTCACTCTTAAAGCTCAATCTAACAAGGTTTTTCAAACCGACTTGATGAAACTCCAAAGCTCTTCTTTTTTTTCACAGATGTGGCCGAGTTGCGCACGTGCTTTCGCATCCGCGCAGTGATATGACATCATATCGTGACACACTCGACGCTATCGACAGTGCGCGCGATCACGCGCCATGCGGTCCGTGTCAGCATGACGTCGGCAGCCGTGCGGACGCGGATGCGACAGTGGGTTTGCGGAAAAGCGCCAAGGTGAGGATGCGCATGCGGATTAAAGTAAGCACTTCTTGCACTTGCACTTATTAACCCTAGCAACACCATTACTAATCAGTGTATTCAGTAACCCGCACACCAGCAAATATGTCACAGTGTTACAGTGTACCGTAATCTTTGTTGCAGAGTGTTGATGCTTTTGTAAAATTGACCAACGTCCACGTCCAGCAACAACAACAACGACAGCAGCAACAACAGCAGCAGCAACAAAAGCCACAACAACAAAGAGAACAACAACAACAGAAGCAACAACAACAGATTCTAGAACAACAACGAGCCCTAGCAGAAGCTCGTCGATATGAGGAATACCGTAGAGCGATTGCGCAGCCTTCCATCACTGTGCGAACGAATTACAGTCCTCAAAGGCCGCTACAGAATTATAATAGACAGCTGCAATATCCGCAAGTGCAGACGGAACAGCAACAACAACGACAGCAAGAGCAACAACAGCGGCAACAAGAACAGCAACGGCTAGAAGAAAAAAGGCAACAAGAACTGCAACAACAAAGGCAACAAGAACAAAAAAGGCAACAAGAATTGCAACAACAGCAGCAACAGGAGCAGCAACGCCTACAAGAACAACAACGACAACAAGAACTGCAACAGCAACAGCAACAAATGCTCCGACAGAATCGTGACAGTGTGATTAACAACCAATTAACGACAAATGGTTATCCTTATTGGGATCCTCGAAGTAGCGTCGCTCATCTGCAATCAACCGACTACCGTAATCCGGGCGGTATGCAGCGAGTCGGAAATGAGCAAGTAGGTCTTTGACTCTGACAGCAATACATCTAAACAATAGGCTTGGAAGGTGTATAGAGCCTATATCGCAACTTAATCTTTGCTATTCCAACAATTTTTTGCCATGGATATCGTGGCGTAATGATCAAAAGGCGACGCCTTTGAGTTGTGGGATTGACGCGCGTACTACGCGTTTCCCTAGGTAGGAGCTATCTTTGTGCCAAAATTCTGCGAGCATTGAAGCACCAGCTCAATAGCTGGCTCATCAGTTAGTTGTAAAAGCTTAGCAAAAATTCAATAATCTCCCACACTGAAATCGGGGTTTCGTGTATATCTGCCTGTAAAGAGTTGCTAAGACTGAATTTTACTTCTTTCTTGACGGAAAAGGCAATCTTGCTAACGGCAGCTAGACAAACTATCCGAATTCTTGGACTTTTTGATTGAAGTTTGTCGATTTCGAATCAGAATATGGTTCACTTTGTCTCCATCAGCATGATTTGATCACTGCTAATTTATCTCTCGGCTACAGGCTATTGCTTGCATCTCATAAATTATCGGACTTCCTTTCTTCCGTAGCACTGAGTCGGTGAGGGATTGAATAGGTATGCTTTAACGAATACGGTCTCAATGATTAAAAGTATAGATTCCTTATTGTCATCGTGATTAGTCTCTTCTAACAATTTCCAACGGGAATGGGAAGAGGGTGAGGTGGTTAGAATGAATGTTTTAAGGATATCTGTTACTCTAACCAGTAAATGTCCTTCTGAAGATAACTAAAATTAGATGCCCGTAGTCAGTGGAAAGCAGTGTTTTTGAATAAAAAAGTGCTGTTCTTTTTACTATCTAAAGTCTCCAAGGCGATCAACTATTATACATCATGATTTGCTTTGAGCTATACGATGAGACAGAAAACTGACCATTGTTCATTTATATATGGTCCAACGCTCGTCATAAATCCAAGTGAAATACACTGCTCACTCTATCAAAAAATCTCTTGCTATTATATAGGCTGTGTGCACACACATATTATGAACTCTTGGTGCATTTCCCAATATCTGATCAACATCCAAAACCTCATATTTCAGGATTTTACTGAGTGCTATTATAGATGGGAGAGTGAAAACTTTTTTTACGTTTTCAAGCACAAGTTGAAACCGCTACTTGCCTAGTCTTTGATTCAGCAGTCTTGGCGGTTGGAGGGCCGGGCTTGTGACCTAATTAAGGCCGCTCGCGCCCGCGACGCAGTCTGCGTCTCTCCCGTGCTCTCTGATCATTACCTAGCCCTAATTAATTTTACCTGTTATTATTAATTAATTACCATATTTCCTCATCAGATGTTTATATTCAGTTCTACCAAAGACAGCAGAGCGTGAACGCTGATCCTCGTCAAAATCAGTTGCATCAAGACCCTCGTACATCGCAAACTACTAGCAGCACTACACCAAAGCCGACCTATTGTAAGTCTCAAACTCCTTTTCATTAAGGGAAAATGATTTATCTAGAAAAAAAAAGTCACAATGCATCATGCTTGTTTTACAGCAACTCATACCGGGTACGGACCTGATGAGGAGTACGATGATGATTACTTGGGTATTGTAATGACGACACCATCTGTGCAGGTAAGAGTGAGACTGTTAGTAGCAAAAATTACTTTTGAACGTACTGCGGATCGTCTTTATTCGCTTCATTGTTTGTGGATGGGCGGAGCTTCCTGGAAAGAGACATTCTCCACACTAAGAGTATCCAGCACTTCCATTTTTGTCCCTGCGGGCGATTGTTACGGCAAAGGTTCAATGTAGCATATAAATTTTGGAACCTCAATTCTTAAAGCATTTTGTAAAAAGAAATATTGCTTTCAACTGGTAGAAGCTACGGATTATACTTCACATTTCGTCATGTTGGAGGGGGGGGGAGGGGGGGGGGAGAGTTTGTAGGGTATGGATATTTTCTTGTGATATGCTGATTATGAATATCATAATTTTTTTGCGGTAGCACTCTATTTTGGGATACTATAACTATATTTTCTGGAGCCATGATCTCAAATTTACTGCGCCGCCACAATCATGAATTTTATCTAGAACTCAGAAGTTTTTTCGTCTATCATAGCACATCCATACACCATCTATTTGCCGTAATCCCACGCTAAGACGGTACATCCTAACATGCGCGTTATTTCGTGCTCAGTCTATGTAAAACTACTAGCAATTCCAACAAGGATAAGATTTTTAATTGTTGGGTTTGGTATGGAATGAAGACTGGAATCTTTGTCACCAACAGTCCACTTCGAAGAATTTGACTTTTTTAAGTATTAGGCGTCAAAAAAAACAAAACATCACCAAGTCAGAAGAAGAAAAAATCAAGAAAAGACGAAGATGCGATGTTTAAAATACAGGGTGTTCCAAAGAACGTATCAAACGCTTGTTCTTTAACAATTCTCTTACACGAAAGCGTCGCCCTATCAAAACCATAGAGCTGGCTTCATCTTCATTTACAGTTTGAAACAAATTACTTATCGCTGTCCAATACTGCAGGACCATGTCAGGTTCTAGCATATGGTACCACTGTTCTAAGCCGCCGTTTCATGCCCTCTATAAAATCTGGAAATTTGTTTAACTGGGTTTTTTACGCAAGTTTTCGATCCTTTTTAACGGCATGATCGCGATTTTGACGAACTTTAGAAGATACTCATGTCAACATAACTCATGAAACAAACATTAAGGTGGAGCGCAGACTCCATAGTTTGCCACCCCACATCAGCCTGATGTAAAAGTTTTCGGGTCGTTTGGTTTACTTTCTGAGGCAAAAAATAGGGCATTCTATAGCTCAAAGCACTTCGAAGTCTTACCGTAATTTTTCAGCTCCTTGTAAACCTAAACTGAAAGCAACTCTACAATACTGTTTTCAATTGGCCGCGAAACCTTTTCATAAAAGAAAGTTAGTGAAAATCAAACGTTCGACGTATTTTTGGACACCTTGTACAGGGTGTCCCAAAAAAATGTGAACACTGTTTGATCGTTAATAACTCCCTTGCTTATAAGTCTTTCGCCAAGCTTGAGGCATCATTCTATAGAGCGAGGTCTAACTTAGATCTGTAGTATAGAGCGAATCGCCAATCTCTCTTCATTACTGTAGGATTACGGTAAGAATTTTGACAAAGATTTTAAACCGTTGAAAGCCATATTCTGCCTCGGAACAAAACTAAACAAGCCAAAAACTTTTATACATGGGTAATGGAAGCCGCTGAGTTCAAATATGAAATTTCCACTTCACTGTGATGCTTCTTTCCAAAGTTATCCCAGGTAAACCTAAATGACCGAATTTCCAGCATTTGTCAAAAATGTGATTATACCTTCAAAAAGGCTAAAAACACTCGTAAAAAGTTGTGTTATGGAATCAGCGTGCGCAAAAACCCTAGTACACGATTTTTCAGATTTTTTGGAAAAAATTTTGTCAAATGGCATATTTCATAATAGATCCACATGCCAGAAGTTCATACCGTAATCCTACAGTAATGAAGAGCGATCGGTGATTCACTCCACACCACAAATCTAAGTTGAACCTCGCTCTACAGAATGGTGCCCCAAGCTCGGCGAAAAACATGAAAGCAACGGAGTAATTAAGGATCAAACAGTGTTCACATTTTTTTTGGGACACCCTGTATAAATGCGGAGGGGTAGGAGAATTTTGAAAATAACTCAAAAGAGTTTAAGAATGCGCAAGCGACTTTTTCTACTTGTGAGTAATATAATTTCCAAAAGTTTGGAATTCAAATCAGTCTTGTAAAAACCTTTTTCGAAGGCGAGGTATAGGCCCACGAATTTTTTCGAAAGTATCACAAAAATTTTCAGGAGGAAGTTGCTAGCGTCACCCCCGCTGGTTCCAGAAAAGTTTTCGTCGCCCCCCTCCGCTTCATAAAAAATTTCTCGTGCCACTGCGTCATAATACGCCTATAGAATGGTAAACTATCACACTTGTTGAACTAGCACTTCAGTTTTTCTTGACTTTCAAAAAAAACCTATTGAGCTCTCCATTCAGATCAAAATTTCTTAAAGAAAATATAATTTCTTAGTTTTTAAAGCGTGATATATATCACCTCGCCAGTGAAAGGAGACGTTGTCATTTTTTGGTGAGGCCATAAGGCTCAAAAACTTAGGAAACAGGAAAAATAACGGCATAACCTAATAGATCTCCCAAATCCCCCTTCTACAAACTTAAGAGACTTTCGCCATAGCACAGAGCACAGTCTCAACGGGTCAGTGCAACTGTGCTGTGTGCTGTGTGTGTGTATAAGAGCAAACATACCCACACTGTGAGGGGTACGGGGGGTATTTGAGCTCCACACAACGCGCGTGCAAATAAAAAAAGCGCCGAGCTCTGAGAACTGATCCTCACGGATTGACCTAGCCATATCGATTTATTGATTCGGATTTAATGAGTTATATCTTTAGACACAAATCCCAAGTCCAACGACGTTTGATCCTCTGTGGCCAACTCCAGCACCAGGACAATTCTTCCAAAGTGATCCAAGGAATCCAAGGGCATGTAACTTCGTAACCTATCGATTTTTAAATATCGATCGATATTGATTGATTTTTAGAGGTTGCCTGAGACAAAATTCACCAAACTTGGCGAACAGGCATCTGAAAACAATATTCCTTGTTCTGCTTATACAGATGATATCTGCTTCCAACAGGTAAATTGCCACGCCCACAAAAAATCATTTTGAAATTCGCGCGCTAGTCCAAAAAATATCGACTTTTCAGCAAGAAAAACTTGGCCGTGGAAGACTATCAAAATGCTGTAAAAAAGGCATCTACCTTACTGATGTCTGTGTCCCTGGAAAATGCTCAAATCACACTGTACAACTATGTTGTTTCCAGAAATTCCTGCAGGTACCTTATTTCAGACATTCAATTATTGATTTATCGATTAATAAATCAAAATTTAGGCACGCTATGCTTGTTGTGAAGATGATGAGCAATCACTTGGACCGGCTAGCACTACAGATTTTAGCATGTGTTGTTTCACCCATTTTGTAGACGAGGTATGATGCAGGATTTATTTTACGACTAAGCTCCGCCCATTATTGTTTGAAATTTAGTTTCAGGACGAGTGCTGTAGTCAAGAGACTGCAGCATTGTACTGGCGATCTGTACACGAAGTCTGCTATCCGAATACAAAAGTGGATTATTCGGGAATAAAAATGGAGGTGGGTTGAATGTGTAGTTGGATGTGGGCGGATTCTTCCCAAACATGGTGTTTAGGGGTGGGGCTTGCCGAAATATGGTCCAAAAGGTGGCGAAATTTCCCCCAAATAGCCCATATGGGGCGCAGTTTGCCAAAATGAAGTCTGGTATATGCTACTGGTATACCAAGCGTTCTTTTTCTCTCATTGAATCACCAACTCCCCTCCCTACCAGAACTCTCCCTCCGTTTTGGTGAAGTTGTAGGGGCAGAGTTTCCCAGATATAGCCTTTAGAAGGCGGAGTGGGCGGATTTTGTCAGGTATATCCTACAGAAGGCGGAGTTTGCCAAAATCTAGCATATGAAAAAACAAAATTTCTCTAAAGTCAGCTTGTGAGGGCAGAGTTTAACTTTAGCCTATATATAGATCTAATGGGTCTTTTCTCAACGTTCTTTTTCCCTCGCCTGCAACCCGCCCCCCTCCCCCCCCCCCTTCCCCCATTCTTAGCGCACGCGTACGTTCCATACAGTAGTGCTACCGTGACTCACGCGCAGTTTTTTGGACACAATGTTAGGTCTCGTTGCACAAAACGGAAATACTTTTTTTTTCTAAAAGGGTTTTGTTGATGACAAAGGTTGACCACGCCCTTTTGCAACATCGTCACCCCGGTGCTCTGTTTGCATTCGATGCGCGAGGTTACGGTAGCGACGCGACCTTTCTCCATCGGCATATTGACTTCGAACTGTTAGCAATAGCGCAGTGAGAAAGTCACTCGCCTTTGCAACGAGCGGAAGATATTGATTGATATTGATTACTTGGAAAAGATAGCAATCGATTGTTATAGGTACGTTTTGCTGAAGGAGTTCGTGTAGTGGACATGAACGAAAATCGTATATGGGACTATGAATGCCGAAATGGTGGAAACAGAACGCAGTACGCCTATCTACCGCCCTAATCGAGATCAATCAATTATCGATTGATTTGGAGCTTATCTTGCATTCTCAGCGTTTGGCTAACATTGTTTTGACTGCTGTTTTTTACTATATTTCCTAGTCTAAGCATAATCAATAATCTCGTATATCAATCAAAATATTCCCAGTCTCTCTATGCCTACCGGTATGTTGATTGCTCGTCAAAGTTTACTAACTTATTGATTAATTGATTAATTGATCATTTATTGTATTATTTCTTTGAAACCTGCTTGCTCTTGTGTGACAATCATAACAGTTTTCTATATTAATTAACATCGCTATCTGCTTAGGATTATCGTTTGATAGTTATTGATTCATTCATTGCTGATTATTGATTTCTCTGCTGTCCTAAAAAATCAGTAGTGTTCCCGCCTAGGTCTACACCTAAGACCATTTGCTCAATGTGTATAGTGCCACAGCTCGGAGAGCGTCATATCTAGTGGTGCTTATTATTTTTTAGTTTGTGGAAAATATTTTCAACAATGCTTACAAATATTATTAGAATAAATAATTTTTATAGTTTGGAATGGCAATTTTGCTTCAGGATTTCACCGCAAAACTTGACAATCCACTACAATAATAAAATTGCAGGTAAACCCAAAATGTCTAGTCAAGGAAAAAGGGGGATTTGAGGTTGCAAATACTAAAAATCTCAAGTTCTGCTATCTTCCTAAATTGGTATCTCACGTCACTTTCTCACATTATACCGTAGTCCCATATTATACAGCAATAGAAGATATGAAGGGAGTTACCGTAATCCGCGATCAAGAGGTATTGATCGATGGCAACGGCTACCAGAGTGCAACGAATGTTTGCGTAAGAATATTAGCAAAAAATGATCGTTAGTTCGAAGAAGCCAAAGAGGCTGGAGGGGGAAGGGGGTAAAAAATTTGCAGGCGTAGTGCGTGGCCCCATGTAGCATAGCTGAGAAACACGGCTTCAGCTATGCCAACATCTTGCCTTGCTCAACGTCGCGATGTCAAGTTGGTCCAGAAGGGAAAATAGATAATGGAGGTGGATTTAAGTAGATCTTCACTTATCGATTTTTGTAGGAAGGTGCAGAAGAAATGTAGGAAGTAGAGCCGCAAAACAGCCGATAAATGTTGGCTTGGTGACAGTCCGTTCCTTCCATTTTTGATAAGAAGGTGCCAGGTGTGAAAAAAAGAAATAAGAAAGACCTGGCGGCGCCCTCCAGCGAGTTGTGGCACCAGGTTGGCACCAGCATGGCACCAAGTGGGCACCGACTGTACCAGCATGGCACCAGCAGCTCCAGCAGCAGGTAATGAATAGTAACCGAGACGGTACAGTAAGGGTTACTGACGTCGTACCGAAGCCGTTGGTTCGTGCGCTTTGCGCCGCACAGTCGCCATCACGAACCGGGCACGCCCACACGCCACCGCCAGTGGAACTCCGCCCATTTGGGTAAACTTAACACCCGAGCCGCCACTCCTTAGGTATGTATACGTAGTGGCATTTATGCAAACTTTCCGTCGTTTCCCCTCTGAGACCCCTCTGCAGCAGCAGCATCTAGTCAATAAAAGTGCACTTGGCCCCCCGACCCCGTGAGCGCCTCGCGGAAATTTTTGAATACAATCGATTCGGTTTCAAAGCCCATAGTGGTCACGATCCCTGGCTGAAAAAGGCGATTGTCCACGTTGTTGACAGAAAGTGCATAGAAATAAGGAGAGCTCGTAAATGATAAGGAAATGGCCGCTTAAAAAAGTTAGAGCGGGCGTAAACAATAACACGGACTTTATGAAAATAACATTCTCTAACATACTTAAAAAATAGCTAAGATAGGGTACCTAATCATGGAAATTAGTCATGCCCTTTGAATCACGGTTAAACTTCCAGAAACGCCTGCTCATGTTATTTTACATGAATGTCGTTATAATTTGGATTCGAGAAATTTTTTTCGGAAATGAAGAAACAAATGTCAACAGCCGACTCATTGTTTTTATTTCATCTCCAAACAGAATTTCATGTATCATATGACTAAGACCAGAAAAAAATGCTCAAATTTTTTGCGAAGTTATAAAAAATGAAAATGGCCTCATAGTGCACGGTCGTGAACATGGAAGATAATCAGAAACTTTTATAATTTTAAGCTATTTAGAAGATTTGCACCTTGTAAAGATTTTACGCTACTTTTTTGCTCCTGAGAAGTAAAACAGTATCAAATTACTAATATGAAGTGTAATAGCAAAAGAAAAAAGGGAAAATTGAGATATTCCTCAAATTTGAAAATGAAGTGTTTAGCTTACAGATAGTGACACCGGCAAACGCTTAGTAACCAGTAACGTTCTAAGAAAATTTCTATCGTCACAATGACTAAGCGCTTACAAATACAAAGATAACGAGCGTTCCCCCCCCCCCCCCCCCAAAAAAAACTTCCTTATAGATGTGGCAAATAGCAGCGGTCTCTCAAAAATAAATGACAAAAAGCTGAGGTTAATCAAACCAGAAACATTTTTACACAATTAACCCATTGACGAAGAGGTGGCCTACACCTCTGGAGAAGTCATACTATTTGTAGGTCTAGAATTAAATTCACATATTGATATTTTCTCAAATTTTTTGCACTTTTGGGACCTGCAGGCTCTGTCGTTCAATAAAATGTTTACAGTTGTTCACAAAACAATCTTGCGTTTTGTAGATTACCACAAAACCTTCTCACACCGCAAGGGTTGTGCAAAATCGCGTCGTCGCACAGCGCTACCACGCAAATTTAGGCGTCGTCGTCAATGTACTGAACAAAGATGCTGGTATAATCATATTACTCATGATGCATGAATTTTGCTTTTCTCACACGCTCGCATCTATGTAGACGCGTGCGACACGGTCGTCGATGCCTATGAGTCGTACATGCACCAAAAATAATTTTGCTAAACATTCAATATTAGGCTAAATTTTGCTAAATTGTAGTTCATGGTCGATTATATGCTTCTTGTAAGGCACTAACAATCTCCCAAATGAACATCAAACTCCAAAGCTATTCCTTTTGATGCAAAGCGACTTAGAGGCATCGCGTTCCATCCATAACCTGCGCTTCCGCTAATTTATGAATGCTCAAGTTTTGAAATACGCTTATTTCAGAGAACACTTCTTGGCAAATTAGGGAATCTTGTGATTCTAGTCTGTTGATGCAGACAGTACACAATTTAAACCTACTATGACGTTGTGATTCCACCTGTCTGAGTTTGCGTACTCTACGCAAGCAGCAGAGAACATTGCCAGCTGAAGAGCTTGCTAAAGCTTTTGATTTTTACTTTGCTGGGACGTGGTGAGTTCTTCTAGATCTGTTTCTTAACTAATGAATGATGACATGGTTATCCATTGATAGATTAGGAAAAAGGTTGTTTTGATGCTGAAATTTCGAAAAAAAATAAAGCGCTGGCATAATTAATGAAAAAGTTAAGTTCTTTGCTTTTAAGATGTCACCATTTTGAGAGGATTAGATCGTGCAAAATCGCGGATATAAAATATGAAAGTTTCAGATATATTTGTAGAAATATTTTCCAACGAATGAAGGAGTTGTAAAGTACCGCGTTTACTGTGCAAACTCACACATCAATTTATAAATCACTTTTCAAACAAGTTTTCAGATAAAATTTGTAGGGCATTTTACAAGTTTGAAAATATTTAAAAGTTTCTGTTGAGGTAAAAATCATGCTACCCCAAAAAAAGATTCCTATAGTTTCCTCTTTCGAGGAGCTAATGCCTAATATTTTTGGCAGGGAAAATTATCGCGTAAGTAAAGCAGCTTGGAAGCCCGACTCAGAGAATTTGACCAGGGCTAAAATAATAAATTGAAAATTATGACAATAGGAGCTCCTATTATGCAAGATGTGTAGTCAGTGGGAAGTAGTTGGAAGAATGACAACGATGCGTATCGAACCCAGTCCCAGTCTGCCATGGTGTGGCTGTTAAAGTTTGCACAGCATTCTATGTGTGTGTATTGCATCATAACGCAAATATTCGACCAATTTCGATGAACTTAGAAGTGAATGCGCCTTTTCGAAGGGAAAAAATGAACTTTACTTGTTTACTTTGCTTCCCATCCCCTCCTACCTTCTACTCTCTCCTCCTCTGAACCTTCTCGAGCGCTCGCCGCGCTTCTCCCACTTCGCGTCGGCTATGGATGGACTTACCTTCACTAACGAAACGGCTCGGCTCGAGCTCTTCGCTAGGGTCAGCTAGTTCCCCTAGTGAATCATCAAAGTTGGTGGGCCGAACTGAGCGCGAGAGCAGTGTGTTTGGCCGACGAGACACGCTTTCGGAAGTGATTCACTCGGCACACATGGGAACAGAGCACACTCCTTCACGGTGTGTGACGTGACCGACGAGCGCACTCCGAGCACAACGACTCGGATGCGGATGTCTCAACTCTACAGCTGAAAGTTTCATAAAAAAATAATGTACAAAAAAATGTCAGAAACTTGTTTTCTGTTATTAAGAAGGGAGATTTAGAGAGTTTGTAACATGAGTAACATTTGTATGTCTTCTCCTCCCCGTCTGAATAGCCTTCGTAAATTCTGAGTACCATATTCTAGGACTACGCTCAACTCAGATTTGCAATAGAGAACGGATGACTTGTAGCTCTTCATTACTGTAGCGTTAGCATAAAAACCTGAGAGGTTGGCGACAATGAGAGCATATATTGCTTCAAAAAGTTTTTTTAAAAGAGCTAAAAACTATATTACAAGGTTTATTAATAGCATTACTGATTCCACCTAACAATAAGCTCAACTGTAATCTTTAGCTCAATTGTCTGTACAATGGGTTTTCTTGTTAATTACAAAAGTCTGACATAGGATCTAAATTGCTCTACAAAATGTACAATTAGGAACTGAAATCAGCGGATGTCTCGAAATTCCAATATAGAAGTTTACAGATGTCTTAGAAATTTCCGAAATGACAGCTAATTTGCAATGACGATATTGTCTCGGTCCTACTGTAATCTGCACTAGTGAAGGAGAATGGGTACTTTATTCTCTACTGTAAATCTGAAATATATAAGTTGAAGCTAGCCATACAATATGCTGCGATAAACACCGCAAAAGCTTCACGAACAAGGGAGTTGATAGCGATCAAACTTTTACATTTTTCGAAAAAACATGCATATCTAACCTCCAAGTGCTATAGAATTTTCTGAATTTTTTCTGAAACAAGTTATTCATTGTAAACTTGACCATTTTCTAACCGAAAACTGTCTTTCCAACGCAAATCTTGTGACATTCTTCCACTTACCCTTCCAATCACTAGCTCAAAAGGTTGATAATGCATTAGATTTTGCACTTTTCAAAGTTTTCTAGGTTTGCTGCAGTAATTTCACTTCTATTTATATTGCTTTCTGCTTCCCTTAGAAAATCAAAAGAATAATTTTAACATAGTTTTTGATTAATAAAATGTCTTTGGCCTCAAAGAGAGCCGCGATTTCTTATAATATGGTAAGTGTACAGTATCTGAACACTGTAGTAGGACTGTACTGTGCAAATCCTGTGTTACCTAACATGAAAATGTGAGATAGACAGCTTATGAAAGAACTCGACTTTTACCGCGGAAAGCTTCCTTTGGAATAATGAATCCTAGCTTTTCGAGCCTTTTTTGAGTTCCTTCAATGTGGCTCACTTGACTGACTCCAAGTCAGCAAATCTGGGGATCTTTAAAGTGAAGAGAGGTGTACCTTGCAGATGGTGGTGAGCATAATTGTAACCTAATTGATGTACTTTTACGAATTTTTAACAATGAAGTTTTTTATTGGCTGCAAAGCGCAGACATATTTCCGCATTTCCAAAGATGCAAGCAATAGAAAGTTGCTTTTTTTGGAAAGATGTCAGTAATGAGATCCTTGAGCTGTAAATGGGAACAAATAGTGCTTAAGTTCTACTTGTAAGACGTCACGGGTCTCGGCGATAACTATCCTACCCTATCATTTCATCTCGTGCAGCTTGTGAAGAAAAATTGTTTTCATATTCAAGACCGCCAGCAGCTTTCAGGATATTACGAATGAATTTTCTTGCTTTGACCGGAATGCATTTTGCTTTATAACACAATTCTTTTTTAAGGTTTCTGTAGCACTAACGTAAATTCTTTGAGTCATTGCTACTAGTGATCAGAAAATTTCCAGTGCGACTCAACTGTCCACCTCGTCACTGCTCTATTTGTCGATCTCACGGCACTTCATATCCGTCTCGACGTCTTCGAGTAAGTTTGCTTGACCTGATGGCTTCGACGGGGCTACGGACATCCCGCTGTCCTGCCATCGGCACGTCGACTGTTTACTTGGGTGCCAAGTGGCACTTTTTCGCTATTCACTACTTGAAGAGAGAGAGGGAGCACGATGGGATGTCAGGATGTTAGGGGGGATTTGAGTAAATCCTCTAGAAAGAGAGGGGAGGTGGAGAGAAGGTAGAAAACAGTTGCAAATTCTTCAGATTTTGCGTCTCAAAAGCACTACCTACTTAAAGCTATGACAATTGAATACGACCATTTTCGCGTGATTCGCGTGATTTTTGCGGAGTTTGCGGGATTTGCGAGATTTTCAGGATTCGCGAGATTTGCGGCGTTCCAAACCGCTTTGAGTTGATGCTAATAAATATTGGGCAAAAGTCGTATGCGCACGAATGCCTCCTCGTCTACTTACCGTACCTCTACCAATTACGTCATTTGATCGGAGGCAAAGCCAAATCGGAACGCTTATTTGCCCAGTGAGGGAACGGTAGTTTGAGCCCTGAGCCGATGCGAATCCCTAAGTAAACACTACTGACCAGAACGCGGTCAGTTGATAGGTATGCAAATGACCTTATTGATAGATGAGATTCCACAAATACCGTATTATACTCTTGCTGTGGTATAGTATTAAACCAAGAGAGGGTAGGAACATATATATCGGGACCTTCAAATCCCTGACAAAATGCAAATTTACAAAATAAGAATAATTTATCATTGTAAAGCCTAGACTGTATTGCATGGAAAGGCGCTCATTGATTTATGGTCAAAGCTTCTATTTCCCGATTCCAAAGCCGCCACCTTTTTCAATTTCGATATCACCAATACCGCCCGGCAAGTTGACGGCATCGCGATCGGTCTGAAAAAAGAATAATAATCCAATGCTACTTTGTACTATGATTGGATCATCTCTCTTTATCATGAAAAAAAGAAGCAATTGTTCCCCGAATAAAATGATGTGAAATTAGGTTTAGTCAAACAGAGCTGCTTGTTTCATACAAAAATAGAAAAGCTCGTTGCAGTGAACAGTGCGCCTTTTTTGTGCAGTACTATTTCATCTTAGACCAAATTTTGAAAGCTTTGTAAGGGATGAACAACAAGCTGGCACAGCCATACATTTTCTCAAAAAACCTTCGAAAAACTTCGACGAAAAATCTCTTCATAAAACTATTTTTCTACTCCCCGCTCGATTGCTAGGCTTAGTTGAAAAAAGTAAATAAACGTGTAAAAGATGACTTTTGAAGTCAATCTTTCAACTTGGAAAAGTGGTTTTGTTTTTACTACAGCTCTAAATATCAGTTTATGATACTCAGCAACCAGGTAATATTCAAAAGTTCGACTTTTATTTTCCAGTTTTCTACGTTTTTCCCATGAAAGAATTCAAACAAAAAGGGACACTATAGACAGTTCTTTCCCACCAACCCCCCCCCCCCCCTCCCCCGTAAATCTATTGTAGATGGAGTGCCACTAACCTTTCCAAGAGCCAAAGGCGCATTCGGATTGACGGCCCCGTATCCTGGTTCGTAGCCACGTACCCTCTTGTTGACCTTATTTCCTCCAAGTTTGTTGAATACTGAAAGAAGAAATTTGATGGCCACATAGAAAGAAACATGATTGCCTAGTACTATACACAGTGGCATACGGTAAGAGCACTGTAAAAATTAGATGTGCGAAAATCTAACAAAGTATCGTTTAACGGCAATGAAACTCGAAATAAAAAGTGAATGACTCACTCTTGTTCAATCCTGGTATGTTTGGAATACCAAATGACTTTAGGAACTCTTGACTAGCCTTCTTGTCAGCGTTGCTAGGTTCAGGCGCTGTACCAAACGATGGATATCTGGAGGAAGAGTAGAGCTAAACAAATCGTTTACTATTTGGGTCGCTGCTAACTTACCCATGTGTGAGGGCATTCAGAGCACGAGCTGGTCCTTTTCCAGTTTTTTGTCCGAGCACTCCCAATTCACTACCGTAATTCAACATAATTCCACCAATCTGAATGCAAATACATTTTCCCCAAAAAAGTTTAAGAAATCAAGATCTTAGTCTTGCCTGGTTCAAGAATGGTAAGTTTCCAGCTCCAATGTCGGCTCCTTGGCTGGAAACCACTTCGAAGCCTAGAAGGACCAACACATGTTTATTATTTACATTGATGCTGTTCAGTACTGTGCTTATTACTACATCGTTGAACTATTCACTAAGTGAGACAACGCCTAGATCTGCCTGCGTGCCGATGCTGTGTCAGCGCCGTGCCGTGCCTCTATTGATCGATCGACATTCCGCACGGCACAAGCACGGTACTAATACAAGAAACTCCGGATGCAACTCAGCTGACCTGGAATGGCTCCTAGTCCAAATCCAAAACTGCGTCCGAGCCCGAGGTTTCCATTCTTCTGTTTTTGGCCATGGCCTTTCGGTCGTCCATCGTCTCTATCGGCAAACCTTTTCGGGTACAGATTGATGTTGGGCACACCACATTTTTCCGAGAATTCTTGACAAAACACCTGAATCCGCGAAATTAAAAAAAAATTTGAAAAAAATAACCAATATTACTAATAAATGGTACTGTTAAAAGGTACTAATCTTACAATATAAGAGCTTGTGTGAAATTGACTTATTTTTCATGTGCAACGCTAAGAATTCCCTAGCTCTAACTCTAACCACACCCTTCTCAATCAACACAAAATACTCACCTGCAAATCATAGCGCAGCTTCTTTCCGGGAAGACATGTTGTTTGAAATGTGTATTCATTTACAGGGCAGTATCTAGAGAACAAAAGATGTTGATTAATTTTTTGAGAGGTTACCCACTTCCTCCAGTCTTTTTCTTTCTGTAGCGTTGGGAATACTGTATACATCAAATTCTGTCGAGGCAGAGGCACTGGTGTCGTTGAGCGACGGGGTCTGGGCAATGGTAGATCACAAGTTGGTCAAACTACAGTATACCACACTTACCGTATGGTAGTGTCTTCCAACTCGAGAGATATATCGTCATCATCGTCATCAGTGCTATGACTCTAAAACAACATGCTTTGATTAAGAAGCAAAATTTCACCTTTTATCTAACACAAGTTTGCTAGCAGATACCATGACTGAAAGTTTCTTCTGAAGAATCTTTAAAGAATCAAAATTCTGGCTCATTTTTTGGGCTTTGACGACACAAAATTGCTCCATAAACAACCAAATCTTTATCCAACCCATGAAAATGATTGAGGATAAGTTCTTATAGTACTTCTGTGCGAGACAGGTTGGGTGTTTTTAATTCCAGTGAAGGAATATGATTTCTCTATGAATTTTTAAACCAAACAATGAAAGCTATTTTTGTAGAATTCATACTTATCTCACTCTTATAATCAGCTCTAAATCAGAAAATATACCTCATGTGGCCTGAACTTCTCTTCGAATGGATCCTCTGGTACACGGGGTTCTTTTCTTCGAATGTTACGACCTTTGCAATAACGCAACGAAGGATTGCGTTCACATGCGATATCTACGAGATCTGGAAAAAACATGTACACCCTAAGTTTTTAGCTTTTTTTCCAGCATTGTTACAAAGAATTTATGCACTTCAACGGGAAAAAGTAGAGACCCAAAGCTCCAAAGGAGGGTTTCATGGGTTGTGAAAGTTTTTGAACTATCGGACAAATATGAAATTTTACTAGTCACACAGCACACACAGGATGGGTACCTACCTGCACATGTTATAGCGATTAGCGCTAATAAGGAAAATGCGAGAAGCATCTCTGAAAGCGCGCTGAGGTCAGTTCGCTCACTGACTGTATCTTTTTCTTGGTGATCCGCTTCGTTAAACCTGTTTCATGGATTCAGGTGTCAGCAGGAGACAATCAATTTATCAGGCAAAGCCTGATTTGCGATGTTTTCGTGGTCCAATAATATACTTTTTTCGTTGTTTTGTCAAAAAACTTATTGTTTAGATGCTTGAGCCAGAGTTTCGTCGTCAGAGACGAAGTTAAAACCATTTGAAGATTCAGCCTATTGTTGAGCGATTAGCTACCGCGAAACGGCTTCGCCAGACTTTTCGCGCACTTGTATTCCCTTCACCCTGGGAGAGGCCCATATGGCGGGGGGAGGGAGGGGAGGGAGGGTGGGAGTAAATTTTCGAAAAAAAAACCAGGAAGTGAGTTTGTAGCTTTATAGTGAAATGAATGTAAGATCATATAAACGAGGGACTAGCGGCACACCTCGTTCCCTGGAACTCAAAGCTTCTTTTCAACATTGCATTGGAGAGCCAGATTTTATGTTTCAGTAAAATCAGTTCGGGATCTACGGACAAAAGCGACGCATCAAATATGCTGTTTCAATGAAGTCTGAATTGGGCAAAATCTACTAGTAGCTACATATTGATTTTGAAGTCTGTTGCAAACTTTGAACTGAGATCCGAATTTGTACTGAATAAAATAGTGAGTTATTCAAAGATGATGAACATTCACTGACACCATTTGTCTTTGCCCAGGTCTGGACTTGGAAATGACGCAATCGACTCGCTCGGATTGCGATATATCTACCGATGCACTTCCTATCCAGTTGTAGCAATTGGCAAAGTTGTTGGTGAGTTCTTCTCTGATTCCAGAAGCAGATGGTTGTGGACCGCAACTACTGTCCCGAACACTCACAACGAGAAACACACGTGTTGGTGCTCTACCAAAAACCAACTTTCGTCATTGAATTACGCTTCTGTTGAAAAGCATTGTGGATGCAGATTTCACTGATACAACAGCCGCAATCAGTCTTAGACTAGGTGAGTAAAATTTTGATATAAACGTAAATATCTTTAGAAGGATGTTTTCAAAATATGCAGTCATAAAGTTTTTTTGGCTTCTTTTTTTCTGGGACCAATTCCAGCCCCGGCTTTCCTCAAAATTCTATGAGCCGACAGTGGGAGGAACCGAGGCATCGAATGAGCTGAAGGCTCCGCGCAAGGATCCATCCTCTTTTCTTTTTCGAAGGAGAAATTGTAGACAGTGGATTATTGTCTGTCTCCTTCTGTCTATCATTACAAGGAAGGCAACCTTTTACGTCGAATTTCACTAGCAGGACGTATGTATGATCGAATTTTATATGCCATCCCCGTGCTTTTGGTACCCAAGTTTGAGGTCAGATCTTAGCTCCTTACGCTCTGCTTCAGCAGAAGAGAGGGAGAAGAAGGTGCAATCGGAAATCATCGAAACGATGAAAATAGTTGCAGTTAGGAATGGCAATGTACAACCTGACCGCTCGGCATGTGTAAAAAGTGTGCCTCTTCAAAGTTGTAAAGATTCCGTTATAGTCTAAGCCAAGGTTTGGCATCGCCCGAACGAATCAAACAAAAAGAATTCTTTCTGTAAAGACCATGACAATGACCGAAAGGCTATTGAAGAAAAGGAGAAGATCGCCCCGAAAAGAGTAGTCCCTGTACTCCATTGTTGGCGGCTACGAAAAGTTGGAAATAAAATTATTAGGTGAGAAAAGGCGTAAAAGTGCCCCAGCACTAAGTCGATGTACAGCCAATGAAACAGGGAGGAATGACGACAGTTCCGCTGAAATCCAACAATGGCTGAGTCGACGTAACAATCTAACCTACTGCCGATGGAGGAGGTTCGAGTGACTTGGAAAAGTTCTAGAATCACACAGTGCAAAGACGAACATCGAGCAAAGAACTTGAAACTCACACTCTCTTGTTCTGCATGAAACAACGCTTCCAACGCAAACGAGCACTGTCAGTTAGCTTACTCTATAACTTGTTGGGACTATACTTGGCAAATGGAAAAGCAGGTGTTAAGCGCATATGGAAGATAGTTCCGCTCAGCGTTTCAAGGTGAGTAAGAGTACCATGTGTTGAGATTCAGAGCTATTACGTTTATGTTGCAAAGTAAAGACTTTTTTGCCTAAAAAAAGAAATCGTCTGTAAATGCAGACGCGGGCTTCTGAGATATGCTCAAATGACCCCTTGAAATGTGCTGTGGCTGTCTTGGAACCTATCGCATCAAACGCTCCAAGGAAGTACCAAGGCAGTTTTTTCACAGTCCAAAATAATTTGGTGGAGTTCGGCTTGGGAATCACTGGAGTGTACAAACACTGATTTCCATTTAGTTGACTAACAAAACATCGTTTATGTTACAAGTACATGTGAATTTGCTTTGTTCACAAATGCCTTTACATGCAACATGCATCTTTCAGTTACAATACCTGAAGCACTGACTTTGTCATATGTGCGCACTATACTTTGAATCCATCAAATAAATATTCGACTGTTCGAATATATTCGCATAAAATTTATTCGAAATTCGATTATTCAATAATTTGTAACTTGAATATATTTTTAATCCGCTTATTCGAAATTCGTCAATTTCGAATTTATTCGGTTTTGGTTGAGCGAAAATTTGAATACTCGATTAGCTATTGAAAGTTGATAATCAAACATTCGAATATCTACTGTTATTCGATTATTCGACGTTTTCTTGCAATCGGTTATTTCATGACAGCGTCATATTTTTGATTGCTATCTCAGCAAATATCGTTTGTTGTTCAAGTTGCTCACTACATCTAGTCAGTCACTGTGCTAAGTTGATCAAAACATGTAAGAATATTCGACGGAGTCGATTTAAAGTATCCGTCTATTTGAATTTTTTTCTCGAATATAGATTATTCGAATTTTTTTCATTTCGAAAATATTCGATATTCGATTATTCCGAATTTTCATATTTTGAAAATATTCGACTATTCGGAATGTTTGATTTTCTAAAATGACTGGTTTAGAATCCGCTAATTTACAGTGTATTTGTGTACTTAAAATCCGCCAATTCATAGCGTATTTGTGTAAAGTTTGGCAATGCCGATGTGGAGAAAACTTTCCATCTCCCATATGCCAAACCAACTTTCTGCTTCGAGATTTTGATGAATGATTGTTCCTTATTGTCTTTCTGATGTCATTAGGTGATTTTGCAAAGCATCTACTAAACAATAATCGTTCTTCAAACACGAGGCCGCATGCATTTAGCGTCGCTGCAGTCTCGCTCTGCCATCTGTTCTTTGTCCGTTCGCCTGACAGCCGCACAGCTCGCACACAACCCGTCTATACCCTCGCTGGTGAGAGAGCAAGCGCCGACTGACCAGCGGGATGTCCGACTTACTGGCAAATGTCGTGCCAGTGCTGTCGGTGTGAGGTATCGCTTCTCGGCCTTTTGGCTAAGATCAAAGTTTAGTTTCTGTTCTTATCGAATTAACCTTCGATAGAGTCTCGAATGAGTCTCGTTAAGGTTATTTGATTTTTGGAACCGGATGAGGTTGCGGGCTTGCTCGCACCTCATCACGGGTCGGCCCAGCGTTGCACTGCTGCAGGGATCGGCCCACACCCCTCCGGGGGTGAACAAAGCATGCAAAGATTGTACTTCGTGCAAATTCTATAGGAAAATCTGTCTTTGCAAGGATTCTGAATCTGTTAAGATCTTGGGAATTCGTAAAATATGTCCCTTTGCTTTTTGAAAGTGTTGAGTTCTAAATCCGAAGTTTTTTTTCTACAATTCAGAAATCCACTTAAGGTAAAAAAACGGGTTAGAGCGGAAACATAACAATCACGCAGTATAACTATTTGTAATCTATTCTGAGTTAACTGCGCCAGTAGCAAAAATAGCTAAGTCTTCTCGCTGTTTATTATTACTTCAGTGTCAAACATAGCAGTGGCTAGCGGCAAAAAATCTTTCCATGTAAAAGAGAGATCTTTCCATGTAAGAAAGAGAGACATGCTTCTAAAAATTTTTTTCTACAAAGCTAAGTTAGTCGATGATAGGTTCATGCAAGAGTTGGTGGCTTGAATTTGTTTTATACCTCAGAACGAAGACAGGCTAACAGTTAAGTAATGTTTGACGTAAATATTCTCCCTCCCCGGTCAGTGAGACTGGGAGCATTTTTTTTACCGAACTCATTTGATCTCCGGTATTTTGAAGATTACTTGAGTGGTCAACCCATCTTTATTTTCTTGTCCATATTCGGCTAATTCTTTTAACGGAGATTTAAAAAATCTGCAGTGATGCTTTTTGGCATCTCTCATGCTGGATTTTCACACCTTCTAGGATGATTTTGCGAAGTCGTGAATTTGACAGAAATGCATCGTTGTTTGAACAAAACTTTAGTAAAATTTTTAGAAAGTTGAAATTCTTAATTTCTCAGTCAAAAACACTAGTTTTTAAGAAGTACATGGCGTTGGTAGCTTGACATTTGAAGCCTTTGTACTTGTAAAGTAGGAACAAAAGGGGCATGAGTGCAGATTTTGCATTTAATGCGAGGAAAATAGATATTATGAAGAGAAGAAAGTATTGCACCAGTTGTTACCTTGTTTGTTCGCTAATTGTTGTTCTACAAGGCCCGGATGGAACGAGTTTTTTGAAAAATAATTTCCATTTAGCAAGCTAGGAAGAGCGAAAAAAACATTGCATGGGTTTATTTTCCTATTATCTACCTGGTATTCAATCTTGATCTAAAGCACAAAGATAATTTTTAAAAGTTGACCAAGTTTAGAAGAGGTGTGGTGACTCCAGTTATCTTGGTGCGCATGAAAATCATTCTGAGACATAGGTGCAGGAGAGCGGGAAATTGGCGACAAATTTTTGCTTGATAGTAGTTTTGAGTCAAGAATCTGCCATTTCGAAATATGACGCGAACTTTGCACAGTACTGATATTTAGAATTTCGAAGGTGTGAAGTTTTTATACAGATTTCGCGATTCATTCTTGAAAGCAGGGGGTG